CAGCTGTCAGCACTCAGAGAAGAGGGGCATGTGTGGTCGCGGGTGACGGGCAGAAAGCGTTGGGAGGACTGGGCTGGGTGGTTAGGGAGGGGTGCCTTCCAGTTTGACTCTTTCCTGGAGCATGCAGGATAGGAAAGGGGAAACGGGGAGGGATCATCTTCCAGTGACTCTCCACGGTCAACGGAACAGCAACTTCTGGCTGAACCCTCTCGCTGCCCAAGCTGGACCCTGGAGGTTGGGTAAAGCCCTGGAACCAAGCAGATCAGTTCCATGTTTCTCCCGCTCTCTCAGTTCTCCCAGAATTGGGGTCTAGGTCCTCTATAGCCCACTCCTCATGGCAGCCCCTCCACCAGGTTAATATGTGTTTGGCTTAAGGCCCCAAAGCCAGGATTGCAGTCCACATTAACAGCCCGGAACTCACCCCCTCCCCACCTCCAGCCTCATTCTCAGCACTCCCAGGTCAGCGTGAACTGCCCTGGGCACCCTCAGCCACTCCACCAGGGTCTGGTTCCGAGCAGAAGCATTTCTACTCTCTGGGAGCTGAAAGACCAGCCCCCTGGGGGCCACATCCCCGGGATCCCAGGCCCTGGCACTGCAGACTTGTTTCCCCCAAACCTCTCCCTTAACAAAGGTGGCTGGTGCTAAGCGAGCAGGGCAGGCCCTCTGCAGCCAAAATGTGTTCACTGCATCTCTGGATAGTAACTGAGGGATACTGAGAAGGGGGAGAGGAAGGGGGTCGACAAGTAGCCTCCCACCCACTTTGTGGAGAGAGAGCTTGGTTTGTACTTGAGGACCAGACTGGAGGGGTAGGCTGGGGTCCTGAGCCGAGCTCGGGGCTCAGCTCTGACACTGCCTCTCTGGGTGACCTTGGGCAGTTACCTCCCATTACTGGGGCCACGGGTCTCTCATCTGTAAAATAAGGGAGGTGCCTCAGATCCCTAGCCCATTCCTCTTCTCCCCGTTCTCTGGTTCAGCTACACTCCCTCCCCTTCCTCTGGCCTCAGATGCTTGGGGGTCTTGGCCAACTCTGATCTGACTCCAGATGGGTCCTGTCCTTACCCACCACCCTTCAGCGTCCACCCTTAGGTTCCTTCCAACATACTGTCCCCCAACCCTGTGACTGTGTGTATCCTGGGGAGCCTCCCTCTACTTTTCAGAGTCAAGGCCTCCCAGGGACTGGCTCTAGTGGGTCTTGGGTCGCCAGCACCTAGCACAGAGCTGGACACACAGCAAGAGCTCAGGTTCCCTGAGTTGAAAGACCGAACACAGGTTGGCATCACTTCCGCTCACCCTGCCTCCCTTGTCTCCTGACCGGCCTAAGATGCTCACTGCTGGGGCACTGACCCCCTGGCTTCCCTGGAGAGAGAAGTGAGAACTGGCTTCTCCTTGGGTATCTCTGCAGCCCAGCCAGTTCCCATGCACTCAGGGAACTGGCAGCCACCGGGCTAGGTCAGATCCCGCCACTGCAGGGCAAGGTGCTGAAGACTTTTCTGTCTCCAGCCTTGAGCTGTTTGCTTAAGTCACTGGGCTGCTCTGCTCAAAACATGATACTGCCCACACCCTTGGCACAGGCCTCACGCGAGGCCCAGGTGCAAGGAGCCAGTAGGTGCAGATAAGGCCAGAAGCCCAGGGATGAACAGAGGTGGCAGAATTCATCTCCTTCTTGGGGAGGTCTAGCCTCAGTTTGCTCACATTGAAAACTAGCTCTTCCTTAGCTGGACCATCGCAAAGGTGATGTGTGTCAGGAGGGTACTTTGTGAGTACTTTGACTCTATCTGCCTGACGCAGTAAATCCCTGCAACCTGTTTGGTTTGAGTGAGTGTGTGTGTGTGAGCACGTGCTGGAAGATGTGTTGAAAAATAGGGTTGGGAGAGGATGACTGAACTCTGATCCGACGGGGACACAGGGATGGGCTTTAAAGAGAGAAACTGGGATGGAGTCAGGAGTCAGAGGGCTTGCGGACAAGCTGATAAGCCCCTATAAAAGTAGCCCTTCCGGGGACAGCCCCATCCCGCATCCTCCAGGGAGTGGCCACCTGGAGTTCAGAACTCAGGTCTCCTGGCTCTGGCCAAGAAAGGTCCCCCGGGTCCCCTCCTGGTCTCCTCACCTCCCTGTCTTTCCTTGCAGAGGTTGGGCTTATTTACATCAGTATCCCCAGGGCAGCATCCTGGCCCTGGATAAGGGTTTTAAGTAAATAAATGAACGAATGAATATAGCTTTTAACCCTAGGAGTGGGGGTGGAATAAGTCGCTACCAAAAGAGAATCTGAAGCCTCCTGAAAGAGGTTTGGGGTCGATGCTTATCTGCTTTCACTGTGAACAACAGACAATGATTTAACAAGAATCAAGACTCTGACCTGCTAGGATCTGATGCACTCTTTGCCCCTGGCTCTTTGCTTCTGAACCTGCCTCTTCTCTGTGTTTCCCTTCCTGCCATGTGTTACATACCTCTCCATGACTTTGTTTTCCCTCCACCAGCCCTAACTCTGTCCCACAATTTAATTCTACCCAAAATACCCCCAAGATGCCCTTTGGAGCCATCAGTCCTCTCTCCCTCCTGTCCTCTGCTTCTCCAGCTTCTGGTCTGACTTTCTCCTTCCTGGGTGTCCCTTCTGTGACCCGTCCCCAGATTCAGAGGTGCCTGTCCAGCTCCCTTGGTGACTTCGGAGAACCTTCTGGGCTCATTTATGCTTTCTGTCTCTATTATACAAAATCTGCCGGCCCAGAGTTTTGCTGAGACAGTAGGAGAAGGGTCAGGGAGGAGTTCCCAGCCCCGGAACGTACTCTGGAGGCCTCAGCCACCTTTACCCATGTTGCCCTGGGAGGTGTACCCCATGGGGAGGCTGAAAGTGGGGTCTTCCGTAAGGCGTCATCCTTAGCTTTGCAGGTACAAAGATTAAAGTGATAATAGATGAGGCATGGTATTTGAAGCCATAATATCCAAACTAGGTTCCTGCCTCATCCATCCAGGTCTCTGAGACCTTAGGCAAGTTATTTCACTCCAGTCAGCTTCAGTTTCCTCACTTGTAAAGTGAGAGCAACACGCCTGCATCATGTGGTTGTTATGAGAATTAAACCAGATAACCCATGTGAAAGCCCAGCATCACTACCCGAAGTCAGCGGGGTCAGGGGAGACTGACTCACATTATCAAAACTCACACTAGACCAGTCAATAGCTCAGGATGTCCATGGGTCATTTAAAAGAGAGAAATGTAACCTGCAGGCAGCCCCAGATACTCCAGTCAATCGGGCAGTGCATTCTCTGCACTGAGGGAACCAAATTACAACCAAAATTTCCCTGGCTGACATGATAGCCCAGCAAAGGGCTTAGTCATTTTGGCCACTGTCACCTGGCTATAGAGAGTCTGATAACTCATCTGCCCAAAGTTTAGAACAGGTCTGGCTACCCATGCACAGGACAGTGCTGGAGATGGATGGACAAATTCTGGCCCTCTGGCTCTACTTTGTTTGAAGAGTCCAACCCACGGTCATTCACGCATCCCTCAGATCTATATTGAGCTTTTACTAAGTGCCAGGCATTGGGCGAGGTGGTAGGGATACAGAAGCGAACAAAACAGGCACTGCCCTGCCCTCCCCATGGAGCTCACAGTCTTTGGAGAAAGACTGACAATTGAACGCATGGTTACCATCCATTGTGATCAGTGTATTGCTACCATGGTGAAGCAGAGGAAGCCATGGGAACATGGCAGCTAAGCCAGTGCAGGGGCCTGGGGGAGGGCTGCTGGAGGAATTGTCCACGCACATCTCCTGCCTTCGACAGGTGACAGAGCACGCTTGGGTGGCTTGCCTTCCAGCTTTCTTAAGTCGTGTTCAGGCCCCTGGCTACACCCCAGCAACTCTGAGTGACCTCGGGTGTTTCCCTAGTCCCCACAAGCAATGCATCTATAAACTCTCCCTTGGGCTGGGCTTGCAAACAATTCATTCTTTCCTTCAAACAACAAATATTTATTGAGTCCCTATTATGTGCTGAAGCTAGATCATTTCACCTTCCCAGCAGGATTTTCTCCTTAACCTCCAGGGTGCCTTACTGAATCACTCCTGTCCCACCTCAGTGCCTCTGCAGTCTTCTGGAGAGATGGAAGGACAATCTAGGATCAAGGCAGTGCCGCCCCAGATGTCGTGAAGGAAGAGACCCCTGGCACCCGCTGGGGACTCCCCCTCTCAGCCTGAGCTGAGCCACGACCCCGGTGGACATTCATTCCTGGAAATGACAGAGGCTTACGAGTTAGAGGTTTGCTAGCCTTCAGGTCACCTTACACATAAATTGTTGTAAGTCCAGTTTCTTGAGCTCCTTTACCATACTGCAAACCCCTATCTGGCCCCTGGCCCTGCCTGAGAAGTCAGGAGGGCGAGGAACACTTCCCCACTGCACAGATCAAGGCACAGAGCTTACAGATGACTCAAGGTCTCCGTTACAGCCCCAAACCTCCCAAGGGCCCTCAGGGCTTCCTAGACATGGCTTGCCCCCTTCCTCAGGGGTGTTCAGAGTCCTCCTGTCCCCCTCAACACCCTAGCTCTCCAACCTTCAAAGCAAGCAGCCCCAGGACCCCACCCCTCGGGGGGCCTCAATGGGTCCCATTGTCCAAGAGGCTGCTTGGCTTGACCCCAGCCCCAGAGCAGCAGGACAGCAGGCCTGGAGAGGGGTCTGCCTTGTCCCCTCCTCGCCTCGGCTGGCCGCCCTGGGGGAGCCTGTGGGGCCGGGGCCCCGCTGAATGTGACCTATTGTCTTCGGGGTGGATTTAGGAAGTGCCAGGCTCCCATCAAACAGCCCTGCTCCTCAGGTAAAACAAAAAAAGGGCTGTTCATTTGGGACCTTTCTTCCTTATCTCCTTTTCCTATCTCCTCGGGCTTAGCTATGGTGTAGTGTTCGAAACCACTTCCCCTCCGAGCCAATCGGAGGCCAGGGCTCACCCCGTGGCCCTGAGGTAAAGTTATTTATAAACGCCTCCCTGGATTATTTGAGCAGAGCCCTTTCGCACACCTCTGGAACACCTTTCGGCTGCCCGCTCCCCAGACACACCTGCAGCCCTGCCCAGCCGGCTCTGCTCACCCACCGGTAAGCCCCACCCAGCCCACCCCCCACTCCCCACCCCCCACCCTGGGCTGGGGTCATCCCTGGAAGAGGGCAGCGAGAGGTGGGATGACAGAAACCAGCCGATCAAGGGGATGGCTGTTTGCCACCCTGAGCACAAGTGGCAAGGAGGCTCTGGCCCCTGAGTCTGTGAACCGCCCCCAGCCCTCCACCTCTGAGAAGCCCATGGGGTCCTCACTTCCCTGTAAGGACCTCAGCCGCAGGGCAGGGGGCTGAAGGTCTGCCAGACCCCGGGATGGGGTGAGGAGGAACAGCTAGCTCCCTTGCAATGGCTTCTTTCCCTTGCAGAGGAAAGAACGAAAAAATATTGGACCTTCCTTGAAGCGCCAGCCTTTGAAGCTGCTGGCTGCACCTCTCCCTTTCTTTTCAAGTCTTGGAAGCAAAAATCTCTTAATGCTTGGCTCACCCGTCTGTGTGGCTGTCTCCCCCTCTTCTGCCCTCCAGGTGTCCTCTCTCACTCATTCACTTCTCCACCAGCTGGGGGCACCTGTGTGGGCTGCACGGGATCCCATGCGTCCCCATTAGTCCTGAGAGGGTGGAGGAGGTGGAAGGAGGGGAAAGTGAGCGTTAGGAGAGGGAGAGCAAGAGACCAGGTCCAGCAGGCAGGCAGGAGCAGGACCCAGCGACCTGACTCCTAGTGGATGCTCTAGCACAGGCGCGTCTGGGCCAGCTCCACTGGCTCCCAGCCTCCTACGCCCTCATCCTGCAGCTCTGAGGGGTCCCAAATCACCCTCAGGCAATGCCCACATTCCTCAAAATCAGCTCACAGGGTCTCCAGCCTAGGCCAAGCAAATCTTCTATCATTCTAGCATAAACTGCCCCACTCACACTTGACTCCACTGGGTCTGAGCGCAGGTTGGAAGACCGGATTTAAGGCCATGTCCCTTGGAGGGGCACAGCATCCTAACTAAGCAGGGCAGACGAACGGAGGGCTATCCTCCTGGATGGCTTCACTCACACAGACACCCCTCTCCCGGAGCCTCGTGGTCCTCCCACATCCCTCCCTTGGCCCTGGCATTCAGAACCCACAAGACCCTCCTTGGGCAGCACTGAGACCAGCCCACGGCTCCTCCCCCACCAGGCTCCTGGGGCGCCCCCCAGAGCCTGGCCGATGTCCTGAATGCTCATTGTATGAGGGCACAGGTGGACTGTTCTTTCTCTCTTGTTGTCCAGAGACTTCCCAGGAATTGGCGCATAGCAGGTATTTAGTAAGTACTGCTGGACTGAATCAAACAACTCAAGTCTGGTCCCAGTGAGCTCCCTGAGGGAATGAAGGACCAGCTGGGCACTGAGCAAGCTCTGGATTCCTTGAACCAGAGCAGGGGGCCCTTCACGGGTCTCCTTGGACACCCAACTGCTTCCAAATGAGACTAACCCTAGTCTCCTTGCAGACCTCTAGGAGTCTAACCTTTAGCGTCCGTTTCAGGGACCCATGACCTTGGTCAGGTCTCATTGCTAGAAAGGGCTTTTCAAAGTCTAGCCTCTTTTGATGGCGTTTTGCAGCCGTCCCCAGCAGGGAAAGCAAAGAGGACTGGGAAAGGCCACCTAGAGATAAGGAGTGGGGATTTGAGGCTCTTCTCCAGGGGATACCAGCCCCTAGAGCAGCCAGAGAGCAGGAAGGCAGCGAGGGTATCTCATGCTCCCCCTCCCGTTACTAATGAGGAAATGAGGCTGGGGTGAAGAGAGGTGGGAAATTTTGCCCCGGAAACATGGGGACAGTCGAAATAAAAGGAGTATTGATAAAATGCCTTGGAAACTCACAAGCCTCTACAGCCTCACTTCTTCCTGCCTGGGACGTGGTCACCAGCTGGGACCCAACCCCTCCTACCCCGTCCCCAGTTCCCACCCCACCCACTCTGTCACTCAGAGGAGGCCCTTTCCCTCCGGCTCCCACCCTGGATGAGGCAAGGAGGAACCAGCAGCTAGGGCAGAGGGGAAACCTCAAAGTGACCTTTCTTCTTCCCAGAACACAGTGATTGCCCAGGTAGGGACCAGTGATAAGAAAGCCAGGGTGGGTTGGCCAAGCTGGGGTTGCTCCCGTGCCTGGCACATGTGCACATCAAAGAAACCCCCCCACACACACATTCACCTGGCAGGACTGAGGACCAAGTCAGCCTGGGCCACAATGACAGGGTCACCTCCAGACCTACCGAAGCCCCACAGACGGGCTCCTCGCCTCCCTGCTCCCCGGATGTCCTGCCCACTCCTCAAAAGATTTTCTGTGTTTCTCTCACCAGTCCTGAGAAATTTTGGAGGAACACGGGAGTGGGGAAGGGCGGGTGGGACACATGTAGGAGCAGATGGGAAAAGGAAGAGAGAGAAAGGCAGAGTGACCTTCCTGAGGTTGCAGAGAAGCGAGGAAGAGAGCCCTCCAGGGTAGAGTAATAAGAACCACACAGTCCGAATCTGTTGCACGTGTACAGTGGGCAGGCACCATGCCAAACCTTCCTATGCATTAACCTGGGCACTATGCCTGAGCCCACCCCTCCCCACAGTATTCTCATGGGTGATGGAGAGAGACCTAGCCGGAAATATGACTGGGAGGAGATTCCAGTGGGCTTTCTTTGCTGTGAGCTCACTTTGGAGGAAATTAAGATTCTGATGAGGATCCTGAAGCCCAAGAGGCGGGTCTGCTCTGGCCTGTGCCCTCCCTGCAGAGTCCATTTCCCCTTCGTCCCCATCCCCAGCTCATTATCTCTCCAAGACCCCTAAATCCCCTGGCCCCAGATGTGACCTGCCAAGCCGGGGGAGTTGTCCATACAACCACCTCTTCTGACCTCTGCTTTTCCCTCTTCACCCTTAAGCCCCACAGACCCCATCTAGGTCTCTCCAGCAACTCAGGACCCTCCTCCTTTCCTCCACAGTGGGGGAGGGGGCAGGGGCACACTTTTGTCCCTCAATATTGTCACATGGCACCGGTGGGGGATGGGAGGCGGTGGATGGGAGGCCGGGCTCGGTGATACACACTTAAGGTAATACAGCGCCCGACTTTTTTCAGCGATGCTGACATCACTTGGCAGGGCTGTGTGTTTGTTTAACTAGGGATCAAGTCTTCACGTTCCCTATACCTCTCTCCCTTTCTTGCTCCCTCTTTCACCTTCCCACTCCAACCTAGCATTGTAGGAGCCCTCTCTGGGGGTCCCTGGGAGCCCCTGAACTCTCTGAGAACCCTGGGAGCCATCTAGGAGAGGCGGTGCCTCCCACCAGGAGGCCAGCTCACCCTCTTCCACCTCTCCCATCCCCCTCTCCTCCTTGGCCTGAAGGACTGGCTGCGGATGAAGTAAGCTCCCCTCCTAAGCCCCACCCGGCCTCAGCTCCTGTTCTTGGAATTAGGAAGTATGACCAGGGCACCTCCTCACCTGGAGCTGGGGCAGCTCGTGCGACTGCCGATTCATCACTCTGTCCCGGTCCCAGGAAAGCCAAGCCAGGAGAGGTGTCAGGACCCACAGCAGAGCCCTCGAGAGGAGAAGCGGAACCCAGAAGTCCTGTATCACTGCTGGGATGCAAGGCCACCAGGGTGGTCCGATGCAACTCAGGGGCAACCCCAGAGAGCAGGATCAGGGGCGTCTCTGGCAGGTCTGGGGCCTTTTCAACAGAAGCACTTGAGCGGGAGTCGAAGGCCTTGTTCGAATTCCCATCCCGCCCCTAAGAGTCAGTTTCCTCAACATGAGAGAGTTGGACCCGCCTCGTCCTCAGGTTCCCTTCTGGACAAATCCTTCTGCGTCTGCTGCTGGATTCCTGTTTTTATGTGTCATGTACACTCAGAACTGGGAAAGCTCCCGAAGCCTTCTCCCTTTCAATATCCTATTTCTGGAATGAAGTGAGCTGAGGGCGTGAAGAAAGGGACAGATTTTGCATTCCAGTAAAGCAAGGGCGCTTCCCTCCTCCGTCAGCCTGTGTAAGCAGGAGGTCCCCTAGCATCTAACCCTCACCTGTGTAAGGCCCGACCCCAGAGGGAGAAACGTTCCTGCAACATCCACCTGTGCCCTCAGAAGAATTTCTAGCACCATCACCCCCTTTCCTGCCTCCCTTCCCTGCAAGTGACAACCAGCAGCGGTCAAAGCCAACAGTGGAGTACAGGCTGGAGAGGGCCCAATAAAGGAGATCCAAGGAGGCCAGGATGGTCTTGAAAGGTTTCACAGAAGAGGAAGAGGAGCGTGGGAAGAGGGAGGAGAGGGAGGAGGAGGAACCTAAACAGGTCTTAAGGATGGGCAGGGCTAGAAAGGCAGAATGAGCCAGGGCATCTCGGGGAAGGAGGAAAGTGTGGACAGAACTCCAGAGGAAAAACTGAGGAAGCTTGCCTGAGGGTGCTGAGTAGACAGCCTGGATGGAGCGGGCAGATCCAGCCGATACATCTCCTGAGTCCAGCAAAACAGGGCCGGGTGGGAAAAGGACAAACATGCCACAAAATAAGGAGTCTGGGTGGGCTTGATCCTCCTGGAAATGAGGAAGCTGAGGGTTTCTGAGCAGGGGGGGCATGGTCCAAGGCTAACGCAACAGTCCAGGTGTGCGATAAGACCTGGGAGGGTGGGGACAGGAGAGACACTGGAAGGAATTAGCAATGGGATTTGATGAACAACAATGTGGAGGCTGGCAGGAGGGGAAGGGCAGGAACAAGTGTGCGGGGTCGGGGGGGATAGGGTGGGGGAGTCGGGTTAGTGTCAGTAGGACCAGATGTTAGCAACCCCCTCCCCACAAACGTACCACCACTAGCACCTTTGAAAGCAGCCTGGGAAGGGGCTTTGGGTACCACCATCTGCTGCTTGGCATGGAAACAAGATCTCCCATCAGCCCCCTTCCCTCTTCTGGTTGAGCCCCCTTGACATTTTTGGCTATTCCTTTACCAGCAGCCTGTTGGGGGGCTGGGCACTGACTCCCCAAACTACAGGTCTTCCTCTGAAGTGGGGCTGGAGCTCTGGATCCCTCTGGAAGGTCAGGCCCCCAACTCATTGCTTCCCAAAGGGCCTGCCAGGCAAACCACTGGAAAACTGGACCCTTCCAGACCCTGGGGAGGGTAGGGAGGAGAAGGAGAAGCAAGGTCCCCCTGCCTCACTGGAGGCAAAGGGCTGGGAGCCTCTGAATAATCTCTCCCAAGAGGAAAGAGGCACCCTCCCGTCTTAATCATAGTAATCATCGCCGTTACCATTTACTGAGTGCCCTTGGAAAAGCAGCCACTGCACACGTACGATCTCATTTCATCCTCACGGCAACCGCCTGGGACTGTTATTATCCCCATTTACAGGTGAAGAAACTGAATCTTTGAACCCAGGTCCTTCTGGCTCCAAAACTTGTGCTGTTTTCCTCATGCAGGTCAATTTCTCACTTCTCCCACTGAAATATCTCAAATGCCACTGCTCTTACTCTTACTTACATTTCTGCCATGTCTTCTCCAAAGCAGCATCCGTTGATTCACTCAACAAGCATTTGTTGGCTGCATACTGAGTTCCAGGCAAGGGGCTGGGCACAGGCGCTGTGGGCAGGCTCCTTCCCCCGCTTCCCTGCCAGTTGGGTATCTGTGAGGGGGTGGGGGTTGCCGGGCACCCAGCCCACCCTTACAGGTCCTGGGGGACCCCAGGGTCCTGTGACCACACGAGTGGATTGCACCAGAACAACCTTCATCCACCTGGACACAGTCTTATTCACAATAACAACTCGCATTTGCATCACTGCTTACATGTTACATAACCCTCTCTTGTCCATTTACTCATTGGATCCTCAGAACAAGCCTAGGAGATGATATGTTACCTCAGTTTTGCTGACGAGGAATCTGAGGTTCAGCAAGGTTAATACTGCCCCTTCCACTTCATCAGTGAAGCCAGGACTAGACCCCAGGTTTCTGGGCCTTTACTGCTGTGTTTTCATCCACAAAAGGTATCAGCCAGCCTGCTCCCCTCTGATAACCTCTCACTCACCCACGTTCCCCGCTAGGAAGGCTGGGGGCATCCTGATCCCCCTGTGTGGTTTCTCACCTTTTGGGGGGTGGGTAATTAGGTTTTTATCTATTTATTTATTTAGTGGAGGTACTGGGGATTGAACCCAGGACCTTGTGCCTGCTAAGCACATACTCTACCACTGAGCTATATCCTTCTCATCTCAAGTCTTCTGCCAAACTGGCCACAGCCATCCCAAACTCCCCACCTCCCAGATGTCAATCTCTCTCTAAGCCTGCCCCATCTCTTCCTCTCCCTCCGTCTTCCTCTGAGGTCCTCCAGGAGGGCTTCTGCCAGCTCTGGGGGGAGGGAGACAGGAGAGGGACCAGCAGCGGGAGGAGGGAGGAGGGAAAGATCCCTGCAGGGAGCTCCTCTGGGCCTCAGGGGCCCTAGCCCTTAGCTCTATCCTGCTCAGCTCCGGGAATGTCAGCAAGGTTGCGCAAAAAGCGAGGAGGAGAGAGATGCCAGTACACAAGGGTGGAGGAAAGGTTAGACACAGGAAGCCGTGGGAGAGCCAGCCTGGTGTGGACCATCCTGATTTCCCCAGACAGACTATCGTCCCCCTGGGGAAACCTGTTGGTGAAGTTCTAAGTAGCTCCTTTAGCTTAGCTGAGGTCCTCCTGAGGTCACCTCAGCTAAGCCCCTACCAGGCAGGTTGTTTTCTCTGTTTCTTCCAAGCTGACTGGTTGAATGGGATGAGCCTTTCTGCCACGGAAACTGAGGTCTGGGGAGCCTGAGGGGACAGTGGGGGGCACCAGGGGCTGACGCTGGGGGTGGGGAAGGGGATGACCCTGCTGAATCCCAGCTGTGACGCCCACCTCCTTTTTGCCTGGTGTTCAGCGGGGGTGACAGCGATGTCACGGGTGTGGAGTGCCAGCCACATGTTGGGTGCCAAGCAAAACAGCCAGGGCAAGTATATGCATCATCGGTGCCTGGGAAGGAAGGCCACCAGGAGAAGTGAGTCTGGCGGAAAGACCTGAAAGAAGGAAGGGAGGCACCTTGCTCGCTGGGGGCGGGGAAGACATAATAAAACTCTGTTGAGCTAGGACGGGAGAGAAGGCCCAGGCCGGCGCTGGAAAGGGATGCCCCTCACTCTCCCCTGCTCTGCTTCTCCCAAAGCTTGTAAATGCCCCAGACATGAGCCAGCCCAGGCCCCGCTACGTGGTAGACAGAGCTGCATACTCCCTCACCCTCTTCGATGATGAGTTTGAGAAGAAGGACCGGACATACCCACTGGGAGAGAAACTTCGCAATGCCTTCAGGTAACATGGCCCGGAGCCCAGACTCTTCTTTCCTCTCTTTCCCACTAAAATCCTCCTGCACCAGGGGCATGGCTCCTGCGTCAGCGTCCCTAAGACAGGACTTGGGGAAGCCTTGGGGAAGTGAGGTTCTGAACCCTGCATTTGAGATCCTACATCTCATCTCTACTGAGACCCCCAAGGAGGACGGGGAGTGGGAGCAGGGACCATCCACAGCTCAGAAGGGTTGTAAGGCATCCCCACCCCCCTGGGTGAGGTCTTGCCATATTCTCAGACCAGTTGAGTCTCTCCTGGGTTCTTAAGGGAGCTGGAGAAGAGCTTGCTACCTCCCGCCTCTTCTTCTGTGTCCTGTCTCTTCCATATCAAGAAAAATCTGAAGCCTCCACCACCCCGTGCACTTTGTCCTCTTTCCCTCCGGGATGCTCCTTCCATTCCCCAGTCCAGACAATACCCAGAGGCAGCCCCTGCATTCCTGGGCTCTCCTAAAGTGCACCTACCAACAGGTGGTCTCACCAGCCCCCGGGCTCGTTCCCCTTTCAGATCCCTGGAACTGGGCTGGGGCGTTGTGAAACCATGCCTATAAAAAGGGGGCTCTGCCAGGTGACCTAAACCCACAGTCCAGCTGCCTGAGGTTATAAGCTTCACCTTCCCCCTTCCCAGACGTCTGGCTGACCTCCCTCAGGCCTCACTGTGGTCTGGCTTACCCATCCTCACTCCCCTGGGGAAAGCGCTGATTCAGTTACCTGGATTCAGGTCAATGGCAATAGCTGAGGTGGAGATGCAGGTGGAACTGGTTCAGGCTGGGGGAATCACCCACTTGAGTCTTCGCTGAAAGCCCTCGTCCAACCCTCCCTCTCCTGGGAGGCTCCTTCTCTGCCCGGTTGCAGTCAAGGCCATGAGTGCCGGTGTCCTGGCACCATTTCCACAGCTGTGCCGCTTGGACAGGTGGGCTCTGCCGGCCTTTGTGTCTAAAGAGTTTAAGTTTGGGTTGTTTCTGTGCTGGAGGGATGAGGGTATCGGCTGTTGTCCTGAAAGGTGAGGACGATGAAAATCATAAAGGAAATTAACAGTTCCCACAAGGCTGGCAGGAGAGCCTTGAACGGTGCCTGACACACAGAAGGTGCTCTGATAGGTATTTGTTTAATGAATGAATGAATGTCTAGAAAGCGAATCCCTCTGTCCATTTCCCGCTTGGCTTCTGGAACCTCTGTCTAGGTGTTTGGCATCTGTTTCCAGCTCTTCTCTTAGGCTTCAGAATGTTTTGCACCAAATATGACAGGCTTGCAAGTAAGGCTGGGCATGTACAAGCCCTCCCGTGGGCTGTTTCTCTTCCCCAAGCCAGCTCTCCACTCACGAGTCCAGTTCCCTGACATGAACAAACCTGACAGTTTCTGCAGGGCAGGTTCTCTCTTAGGACGATGCTTTAAACTAGTCCAAGTCCAGCTCCCCATCCACCATCCCAGGGTTGGGAGAGGCAGCTCCCCGCCCCAGGGGAGACCAAGGAGTCAGACGTTGACGGTGATGCTGTTTCACGAAGTGTTGGTTGGGACAGAAAAATCTATGCAGACTTTGCAGGGTAGGAAGCATTATCTGTGTCAGTTTCAGCTTTGGGTGACATCCAGAGGACCCGGTGTCAGAGAAACTACGGTTGAGCAATAGCAGAGGGCAGCAATTGGTGCTGGGCAGGCAAGGAGGCCTAATCAGAGCAGGCCAGTGAGTCACCTGATGGGCCCTGAGTATTTGAGTTCCCTCATCTGGGAGAAGGAAAGCAAGCGCCTCCCACCCTCTTTCAGTCATCAATCCACCAGTTGTCACCCTTCAGATTGAAGGCCCTTGTTCCTACCGCTCCGGAGCTGCTATGAAAAGACCTCAAGGTGTTCAGCAAACAGCAGAGAAATCAACTGTCCCCACCCTGTGTTGACCAACGAACAGCTCCCCATTCTTCCCTCTCCTGAAGAATTAACGGGGGAAAGAACTCCAGCCTTGGAGTCATTGCACACGAAGGATGGTGGGTCAGCAGAGGTGCACCCTGCAGGGACAACGGAACCTTCCTTTGAGGGGCAGTTCCAAGAAACTGCCCCCACTCAAACTGAGTTTCAATTCAGGCCCATTCTTTCACTTATTCATTCATCCATATCAACAGATATCTACTAAGCACCCCAGTTAATGCACGAGGTATACAAAGGCGAACAGACTTCTCTCCATGGTGGGCTTTACTGCGTAGTGGGAGAGATAGATGGAAAGCAAGAAATTACAGCACAAGGTACACACAATGCTGCAGGAGCCCAGACGAGGCTGCCCGGCGCCTGTGTCCCATCCGACCAGAGAAAGGCCATCTGAGATGGGGGCTGGACTTGACATCTCGGAAGGCTAGGCCACCCCACAATCCATACCTTTAGCCAAACCTTGTAGACTCCCCAGGTGAGCAGCCAGCGCTCAGAAGACCTCCAGCTGATGCCCAGGAAGTGGGGATGGCTCTCAAGAGAAAGTCCCTGCCTTTACTTCTCAGCATCCCTGCACACCCCACAGTGCGCCTGCTCACTGACTGTTGAAAGAGTTTGGAATGAATGAGGGAGGGGATGAATGGATGACCAGGAACAGGATGTTATAATCTCTCCCCGACTTGGAGTGTCCAGGCTGTGCAGTACTGACTGGAAACCTGCCTTCATCCCTTCTAGGTGTTCCTCAGCCAAGATCAAAACCACGCTGTCTGGGCTGTTCCCCGTGCTCTCTTGGCTCCCCAAGTACAAGATCAAAGACTACCTCGTCCCGGACCTTCTTGGAGGCCTCAGCGGTGGATCCATCCAGGTCCCACAAGGTGAGGGGATCCCCTCAGCCCAGCTTATTCCTCTCCCCGCCCCTACCCTCTGCGACCTCCATAACCTGACCATGCCCCTGGGCCTTCAACCTCTCTGTCCTGTTCAGGCATGGCATTTGCTCTGCTGGCCAACCTTCCTGCAGTCAACGGCCTCTACTCCTCCTTCTTCCCCCTCCTGACCTATTTCTTCCTGGGGGGCATACGCCAGATGGTGCCAGGTAAGTCCTCTCCCCTCTCAGCAGGCAGGGTGTCCTGGACCACAAGGAGGGATGGGTGGGTGGCAAAGAGGATTTGGGTGATTTCCCATCTGCATTGTCCTCTAGTTGGTGCTGGGTGGTCCTGGAGGGACTGTCACTGTGAGTGTCAGTCCCAGGTCTTCTGTGACCTTGAAGAAGCCTCTTAGCTTCTGGGAGCTCACTTAGCATTAGCTGTTCAGTCTCCCTCCCTGGAATTGTGGGGAAGACTGGGTGGAACAAGATACACCATATGCCATAAAGAGCTCAACAGAGATGAGAAATTACTGTCTAACCCCCAGAGGGGTCCCAGCAGGCCACTTCAGGGACATTTGGAGTCCTCCGGCACTAAGTGAGATGGAGAAAAAGGTCTGTTTTCTGGCTCAGGCTCTGCTTGTATTTCCCAATCCATATCCTCATGTGTCCAAGAAAATAATATTAACAGTTGGGGTGAAAGCACCTTGAAGAGTGTAGATCCTGGTTAGATGTGAGCGGTTGTCATGCAGGAGAGGAGCCTTGCAGGCATGGGACTCCACCCCCGTAGGGACTGGGAGCCCCTCTCTGGTTTCCATGGGTGTGGTCCAAACCTCTGACTTTTGCTGGCTGGGTGGGGCACCACAGGTACCTTTGCCGTTATCAGCATGCTGGTGGGTAACATCTGTCTGCAGCTGGCCCCAGAGTCGAAATTCCGGGTCTTCAACTATACCACCAACGAGAGCTACGTGGACACGGCAGCCATGGAGGCGGAGAGGCTTCACGTGTCAGCGACACTAGCCTGCCTGACTGCCATCATCCAGGTGAGGGGGATGGCCTCCGTCTGCCAGGGCCCCACCTCAGGAAGGCATCAGCCCACCCTGGCCCTGCCTCAGAGTCCCAGTTTTGACATTGAAGCTGCCATTTAGGGCTCTGCTTCCTTCCTCTTTCCCATTCTGAGGCCACAAAAAACCTTGAGAAGTCAGAGTATCTCCTCATCTGCCTCCAGCAGGTGCATAAGACCAGCATCTGCTCTAAGAAAACTGTCCTGAGCTAATGGCTGTCCAAAGGACTCGGGGCCCCTTTCCACTACCCTTTCCAGTGCCTGGCTGTCTGCCAGCACAGTCCTCCAGTTTCTCTAACATCCCTCATCCCGCTCCAGCCTCCTCCGCTCCAAGCCACAGCATCACCTGCACGATGTAAATTGCCTTTCCACCACATGCAAAGGACTGCCAGGTTTTACGAAGGCACACACAGCTGGACAGAATATCAGAGCAGGAAGCAACCTCCGAGGGCACCTTTCGTTCATTGATTCATTTGATTAATGTTTTTTCGGTTGTTTCACTGTGCCAGGAACTAGGCTAGGCTCTGGGGATAGAAGATAAGAAAGAAAGAGACCCAGTTCTCAAGGAGCTCACAGCCCAGTAAAGGAAGTAGCCAAATCAACATAAATAAATGTGTCGGCAGTGAGATAAGTAACATAATGGAGCTAAGTACCAACAGCAGTGGGAACACCAAAGGGAAAGTTAGGGAAGGCCTCTCCTCAAAGAGAGGAGGTGGCATATGACCTCAGCCTAAAAGGATGACTAGAGAAGGGAGGGTACAGCTCAGTGGTACAGTGTGTGCTTAGCATGCACAAGGTCCTGGGTTCAATCCCCAGTACCTCCACTAAAATAAATAAATAAACCTAATTTCCACCCCCACCAAAAATTTAATAAGTTAAAATTTTTTTAATTAATTAAAGGATGACTAGAAGTTGACCAATAACCAAATGAACAGGGCACAGAAGGACAGTCCAGGCAGAGAGAACAGCACCCCAAAGCACTGAGGCCTGAGAGAGTGTGAACTGACCAGGGAATGGCAAGACAAGGAGTTTGGTGTGGCCAGAGGGCAGGGGGCCTTTGGGAAATGGGCCAGAGAAGGGGCCAGAAAGGTAGGGGGGGTCAGACAATGAAGTCTGAGGTCCCCTAAGCAGTAGCTTTGGGTCCAGTTGGATCATTCGGACCATGGGGAAGACGATGGGTGGGAGGTGGGTTCGAATCAAGGCAGAGGACCTGTTGGGAGATGATGCGAGGTCCAGGCAAGAGTGATAAGGGCTGAGACCAGGGTGGTGGCCATGGAGGTGCAGGGTGGACTTGAGGAACATTTTGCCAAGAGCCAGATGAACAGAGCTTGGTGATCAATCGGACATGAGAGGTGAGGGAGGATGACTCCCAAATTTTTAGTTGGCCCACTGGGTGGATGGGTGTGCCGCCTACTGAAAGAGGAAACACTGGTGAGTACCAGGTTCATTTTACAGACGAGGCAACTGGAGCCAACGAAGGTGAAGTGCAAGAGGCCCGGGCCCTGAGGGACTAAAGGTCTGCTGGCAGTAAAAGACAAGGTCACCAAGGGTGCATTTCTCTAGAACTACTGCCATCCAGGGCTGCACAGACCTCCGCCCTGGTGTGGGTCAGGCAGGTGCGGGAACTGCCGACCTTTCCTGGTCTCCTCCCACCCTCCTCTCCTCTCAGATGGGCCTGGGCTTCGTGCAGTTTGGCTTTGTGGCCATCTACCTCTCCGAGTCCTTCATCCGGGGCTTCATGACGGCCGCCGGCCTGCAGATCCTGATCTCCGTGCTCAAGTACATCTTTGGACTGACCATCCCCCCCTACACGGGCCCAGGGGCCATCGTCCTTGTGAGTCTAGGAACACACCCCCGAGAACGGAGAGGGGCTTGAGCGGGCACATAAGCGGAGCTGACTGTCTTAAGTTGTGAGCACCTCTCTATCAGATGTTCTCAAGGACAGGCTGGGTGACCAGCTGTTCAGAGAGGATTCTGAGGGGTTCCCACTTTGGGAGGGAGGGTCAAACACATCAAACACATGACCTTGAGGTTCTCTGTGGTTAATCCCTGCAGAAAAGGAGAGGTACGGTCTCCATCAGTTCCCCGTTCCAGTGCCTCAAACCCTTCCTGCCTGGGAAGTCCTTCCTTATGTCTAATCTCCATCCCTCTCCTTTAGCTTGAACTCTTTCTAGAGAAACAGGATGGGATCAGCACTGCCCTCCCAGTATGAGCTCCACACGTGCCCTTTGGGAGACGGTGGTGGAAGGTGGGACGGGGTGCATGAGCAGGGTGTGGATTTTGCTTTGGTGTGCCTCCCCGAGCGCTGACGACGTCCCTTCACTGAGCCAGAAGCTGGGTGAGGGGTGGTACGGGAGGAAGGGGTGGGAGCCCATGGGTGTGATGCTCTCTCCCCAGACCTTCATAGACATTTGCAAAAACCTCCCCCACACCAACGTCGCCTCGCTCATCTTCGCCCTCATCAGCGGTGTTTTCCTGGTGCTGGTGAAGGAGCTGAATGCCCGCTACAGGCACAAGATCCACTTCCCCATCCCTACAGAGCTGATTGTGGTAAGGACCCCGCCTGGGACTGAGGTGTCGGGGCCCAGGCAGGAAAGGCTGTGAAAAAAGGAATCCAGCTCCAGCCAGAGCCCAGGGAGCCCCTCCACTCACCCCTACTGTCAGCCTGCTCACTGTCAGCCAGTGTGACAGGAAGTAGGGGTGAATCCACCCCACCCCTCCTATATAGCCCTGGTTCCCACTCGTCCTGCTCCTCGCGTTGCTCCTCCTTAAGAAGACAGGGCCATGGGAATAGAGGTCCTCAGAGGAAAAGGAGGCTTGAGAGAGATCCCTGCCCTGGCCCCAACTTAGAGCCAATCCTCATTCTCCACTTTGGGGTTTGCAGGTGGTGGTGGCAACAGCTATTTCCGGAGGCTGCAAGATGCCCAGCAAGTATCAGATGCAGATTGTGGGAGAGATCCAACAGGGGTGAGTCAGGGAAGCCGGGGCCCACCCACATCACACTCCCCACCTAGGCTCAGGGGCTGAGATGAGATGAACTCTATGAAGGTAACTTATAAACTCTATGACACTGACCAGCTCTGAATTATTCCTGCTACTTATTATGGAGAAGAGTCACACAACCAGCTAATGCTGGCTGTTTCAAGAGCAGGAAGTCTTAACTGCCACACATAACCTCCAAGTCTCATTCAGTGGATGCTGTTAAAGCAAAGCCTCTCTGATCAGTCCTTCTCTGGTTCTTCGCCTTGCTCTAATGCATTGGCTTTTTTACCACGTGGAAGGGAAGCTATTAGGATCAACATAATTCATTAAGCATCTACTCTTGTGCCAGGTACCACGCTGGGCCCTGGGCGGGGACGGGCAGTGGTGATGCTGCAGAGTTGGACAGGGTGATGGAGAAAAGGCTTCACAGCACTGGGGGCTATGGATCTGGGGACGGGTGAGCCTAAAGAGTCCGGACTCTGGATGTGAACAGACGAGGCCCTAACACTTACTAGCTCTGTGATCTCGGACAAGTTATGTTCTCTAAGCCTCTGGTTTTTGCTTTGTCAATGGGAGTGATGGAGCTGCCCTGCAGTGTGGTCCTGGGGATTCAGACTGGAAAGGGTCATTCCTGTAAAGGCCATGGCACAAAGTGGGGCCCGGCTGGTTCCTGTGGGTTGATGAAGGACTCGGAGCCCTCCCTCTCCTCACACTCTTGGGCCCTGCCTCCTTTCTGGCTCCTTGGCAGGTTCCCCACTCCCGTGTCGCCTGCGGTTTCGCAGTGGAAGGACATGATTGGCACAGCCTTCTCCGTGGCCATCGTGGGCTATGTCATCAACCTGGCTGTGGGCCGGACCCTGGCCAGCAGGCACGGCTATGACGTGGATTCTAACCAGGTAGGTCCGGCCACCCCTGGCAGGGCTGAGCAGGATGGCCCAGAACCCATGGAGTCCTGGCAAGAGACAGCTTGGGGCTCTGGGTTGAGGTGAGGAAGGCTGCCTGCCTGTGGGGAGGGAAGACTCTAATGCCAAGAGGCTGACTTCTACTTGATTGGGAGTACATGGCTTTATAGCAGTAGGGGCGCTCTTGAGTTCTAGATCAAGCTTGAGTTTGTTTTGGCCTGTACCCTGCATCCCATCCCCCATCCACCCTAGCTTCCAATCCCGCCCCTGTGCCCACAGGAGATGATCGCCCTGGGCTGCAGCAACTTCTTCGGCTCCTTCTTTAAAATCCATGTCATTTGCTGTGCCCTCTCCGTCACTCTGGCTGTGGACGGCGCTGGAGGGAAGTCTCAGGTGAGCGCTGGACCAATGGAGTAGGGGAGGAGTGGGAGGTGACCAGAGCAATTGCCCCAGAGAAAAGGCTAGCTGCATCTCCGACCTTCCTCTCCCCTCCTTAGTCTCCACCCCACCAAAGGCATCTACTGGAAATAAATCAAGAGGGAGAATTTCACACCTATGCCCTACTCCCAACCCTTTCTCTGAATAGATCTCAAGCCTGTGCGTGTCCCTGGTGGTGATGATCACCATGCTGGTCCTGGGGACCTATCTGTACCCTCTCCCCAAGGTAAGAGCACAGCCCGAGAGCAGAGGCCAGCGAGAGGCTCCAGTAAGACCAAAATCCCTAAGAGCTGTGTGGCACCTTACAGATTACAATGTGTCACACTTTGTCCTAATTACAACCTGTGAAGTAGTCAATTCTCCCCATTTTACAGGTGAGGGAAACTGAGGCTGAGAGAATCTAGGTGACCTGCCCATGGTGATACAGCTCACAGGTGCCGGGCTGGTCTCAAACTGCAGCCTTCAGACCTCAGAGTCCATGCCCCAGTCAGTGTTGACAAGTGCCTGTGGGTGCCTGGCCAGGAGGGCTCTCGGCACAGGGCCGCTTGGGGATGAGGGAGGAGGGGAAGGGCAAAGATGGGCCCTGTGTCTGTAGCATCTGCACTCCCCAGCCCTAAGATCCACTGCAAAGATCTGGGGCGTCTGCCAGCGGAGGCGTTCTAGAACTGCAGCTCTGTCCTGCCAGGCCGCAGGGTCAGGCATTTGCAGGATGGGCCGGAGGAAGGGGACACCCCGGGTAACAGGGAGCAATGTTCTGCTTCCCCAGTCTGTGCTAGGAGCCCTGATAGCTGTCAACCTCAAAAACTCCCTCAAGCAACTCGCCGACCCCTACTACCTGTGGAGGAAGAGCAAGCTCGACTGTGTAGGTATTGGGCGACCTCTGGGTACCCATCGTGCCGTTGCCACCTTCTCCAAACCCACAGCCCTGTCAGCTCTTCTATCAATGGTCCCTCCGGTTGGCTGCCCCCTAATTAGCATCGCCAGGTGTTAAGAGCTCAAGTTTCAGAGTGAGACATCTTATTTTCCAATCCTAACTCAACCATGGCCAATTAGCAAGTCCCTTAACTTCTGAATCTCGACTTCCTCATCTGCGAAATGGGTATTTTATATTCTTTACCCACCAAGGATGCTTATGATATAAGATAAGATAAGGAAAGAACATACCATCTGAACTGTAACTCTGGTTCGATAAAACTTAGCTATTATTATTTTTATGATTTACAGTTCCAAAGAAAGCAAAATGAAATCACTTTAAAATAACAAAAAAGCCTAGAACCTAAAGCCAGCAGACCAGGATCTTGAGCAGGTTAGGTTACCAGACTTCTCTGGAGTTCTGTCTCCTCCTCTGTAGTGGCGGTGATAGCCGCGGCTGCATCACATGCTGGCTCTGAGGATTAAACGAGATCATAGTGGGAAACCGTGTGACCATAAAACACTCAGCAGACATGACTTACTGTTTTGATTACTCACATTCCCAGCACATCTTCCACTAGACAGTAGAAATGAGGCTACCTTGTATTGACGCCACTGCATTATCCCCACTTATGCCCCGCCACAAGCTATGGAAGGGGATTTACTAACCTCCTTTCAAGATTATGAAACCAAGGCTCAGAGAGGTTAAGTAACTCATCAAAGGCCACAGAAGTCATAAGTGGTAGAGTCAGGACTGGAACCCCAAGTCTTAGATGGCAAACCTCTGGGCTATACTGTCTCCTAGGGAAGGAGGCTCGCCTGCATGGTAGGGGAAGGACATTCTTAAATCCAGAGGAGTGACTGGTCCATCTGGGGTCCTCCAGTGAATGAGGATGGGGGGGGAATGATGTCCCCATTCCCAGCCCCTAAATCTGCTTTTACCACATCCCAACGACCCCGCACTACAACAATAATCCCTGACATTTACATAGCACATTGGGGTCCCCTCTGAGCGTCACAGTTCTCTGCAGCAGAGAGGGCAGATTTGTTTCCTTTAGAGGAACCTGGGGGACTGTGAAGTACCATAGGAGAGAACAGTCAAAACTGCAGCCAGTCCTGCCCCTCCCCACCCTCAGCCAGGCCCCAGGCTGCCAGGTCAGGAAGCACAGCTGAGCACGCGTCAGACGCACAGCTGGGTGAAGGGAACTCACGTGTGTTGATCGCTCACTGGGTGCCCATCACTAGGCTAAGAGCTTGTCTTCCTTGACTCCTTAATCCTTTCGCGAAGCTGGTGTTATTACTCCCCCTTTGTGGATTTGGCAACTAAGGCTCACGTAGCCAGTAAGCAGGAGAAGGAAACTTGGAACCCAGACGTATCTGACCCAAGACGCACACTCTCGTCACCACGCCGTGCTGCCTCCCTGTGTGTCCCGGGGTTGCTATCACACTCAGTCTAAGGGAACTGGGCAAGTGTATTCAAAGCGCAAATACATAAAACAGTGCAAAAATGCCATGAAAAGGGAAGGGAGGGCCTGAGGTTGTGCGGGCAGAGAATGGCCTTGGCTGATGCAGGAAGACTTCCCCAAAGGGGCAGTTTTCTCCCCAGGCCTGCTCTGACATCTGTCTCCCCGCAGTGCATCTGGGTGGTGAGCTTCCTCTCTGCCTTCTTCCTGAGCCTGCCGTATGGCGTGGCGGTGGGCGTCGCCTTCTCCGTCCTGGTTGTGGTCTTCCAGACCCAGTTGTAAGTAACAGCCCCTCCCAGCAAGGCTGCAGTGGGGCCCCCGGGCTCCCATGCTGAGGCCAGGCCCAGCCCTCTGCGCCCTGCCGCCTTCTGGGCCTGGCACTGGAGGGAGAGCCGAGTCCAGCCAGGACTCTCACAGGCTGGGCTGTGTGACTCCCCATATCCTGAAAACTCAGAAGAAGGCATCATGGTTTCAGAGGGCTGGGCGCCCAGAGAAAGTAGGGGACGACCTGGGTGAGACTTAGTGTCCTTCCAAGGGCACTGCCAGCTCCCAGACTAAATGGGACCCCACCCCAGGGGAATACCAGGCCAGAGGACAGCTGTGCCCTTCTTATAAAAACATTAAGTAGAACCGACAAGGGGGTCCAGGCCAGGGCAGGAAGGATGCTGAATGTTAGGGAAACCCTGTCTTCTCTTCTTGAGAACTCAGAACCAGGATGTGATGACTTCAGGGCCACTTAAGCTTGTCACCTTGTGTAACCCACCCCTTCTCCCCCGCAAGCCCCAGTCTGGGAGCTATGTCAAGGAGCTGTCTGTCATCCCTCTAATAATAGCCCAGCCACAGGCCACCAGGCATGTGTCTCCAGTGCAGGAAGACAAACACCAGTTCAGGGTGAGGAAGGGACCCTCTGCCCTGCCTCTGCCCAGTCCCCAAGCCCCTGCCCCAGCATCACTCCCGGCCCATCCACTAATAGCATTCTCTTGTATTTTTCTTTTCCTTCTTCATCTAGTCGAAATGGCTATGCTTTGGCCCAAATCACAGACACTGACATTTATGTGAACCCCAAGACCTATATTAAGGTGCGTAATCCAAGCTTATGACCCTTCTCTTTTGCCCTACCCACCCCTCCAATAAACGAGGGCTTTTAAAGAAAGCCAATAAAGACCTTGCTGCTCCCTGAGCTGAGTGTCCCTATTACAGGCCCAGGAAGTCCAGGGGGTTAAGATCGTCACTTACTGCTCCCCGCTCTATTTTGCCAACTCGGAAATCTTCAGGCAGAAGGTCATTGCCAAGGTAAGGCTCAGTCCTCTGGTGACCAGAGGGGCTGGACAGACTGTGCCCAGAAGATGCAAGAGAGGAAGCTGGGAGCCAAGAGCAGGCCACCTCCAAAGAGGGTGGAGGTCAAGGCTGCTCTGGGCTCTCTCCCTACAGACGGGTGTGGACCCCCAGAAGGTGCTGCTGGCCAAGCAAAAATGCCTCAGGAAGCAGGAGGAGGGGAAAATCATGCCCAAGCAACAGAGGAAGTCTCTGTTTATGAAAACCAAGGTGAGCTGAGTCTAGGAAGAGCCCATGCCCTCTGCCCGGCCCTCTCTGGTCTTGTCACCTGGTGTCCCACCTCCCAGCATGCTTCAAGGCAAAGACATCAGGTCTCTGTGGCCATTGCCTGGTGGGTATCCCCTCCTTGGGGGAGAGGCTGCCAGCCCCTGGGGTAACTGCTGGACCCCCATGGCCCCTCATTTTCTGGCTAAGATAGGATATGCCCATGGACTTATGAACAGCTTCAGATGGGGAGCAGCAGTGATTTTCTGGGGTACCCAACCAGCCAGCCTGGAGCTAGCAAAGCAGATGTTGTTGTGGGAGTTCTGGAGAGAAGGCGGCAGATGTGGATAAATGCAGAAAGGAGCTCAGTCATTCCCAAGGGGCCTTCTCTCAGAGCAGACTGGCTGAGGCTTCAGTGCCTCTCCTGGAAGAGTCTTCCAACTTGGCCTGGGTGTGAGAAACCAAATGTGCAGGGGCTCCGGGAGACGCTGGTCCTACGGGGTTTTCGGGGCTTGTGTTCACCATCACCAAGTTCAGTGACACACCTCTTCCTTCCCGCTCTTTGCCCCGGCCTCAGCTACGGCCAAGTCTGGTTGATTCTGATGGTCCCTGACTCTGCCCCCTACTCCCACCCTCCAGACTGTCTCCCTGCAGGAGCTTCAGCAGGACTTTGAGAACCCCTCCCCCACGGACCCCAACAACAACCAGACGCCTGCTAATGGTGCCAGCGTGTCCTACATCACCTTCAGCCCTGACAGCGCCACAGCTGCCAGCTGTGAGCCACCAGCCCCTGCTGAGATCCCCAGTGAGCCCAGTGACATGCTGGCCAGCGTCCCACCCTTTGTCACCTTCCACACCCTCATCCTCGACATGAGTGGGGTCAGCTTTGTGGACTTGATGGGCATCAAAGCCCTGGCCAAGGTGAGGCCCTCGGGCAGAGGGAGTGCCAGCCCACCCGCACCTGGGCACCTGCACCCCTACTGTCCCACACCCCCTTTCTTGGGAGGCCTCATTTCAACCAGCTGAGCAAGAAAGCTCGCCAAGGAGGCTAACAGCTCCTAAGATCCCTTTCCTCAAGAGGCCACCAGGACAGGATGCTCTTGGCAGAGCCAGCCTTGCAGCCCATGACAGTGAGGGCCTGGGAGAGGTACCAGAGCTCCAGCCCTGCTGGGCCACCCTGTCCTAGCATCTTTCCAGCAGAGGCCATCGCAAGTTCCCTCTCAGGCCACCCCAGGGTCCTCTGAGTAGAGTTCAGCTTGGCCCTGGTTCATTGTCTGCTGCTCCTTCACACACTCACCCAGACACTCTAGCATCAGCTGGTACCGGCCAACCAAGGAAAGAACAAGAAATAATTATCAGGGCCCCGCATCCTTAGGCCAAACAGGCAGCTTATGGGACACCTTAAATAAATGAACACATCTGATAACTTCTCAGCAGCCACCTCCAATGGCAAGGAATCAGCAAACCTCAGAGATGGCCCAGAGAGAGGCAACCAGGGGAACCGAGGGGTACAGAGAGCACACAGGCTGATGTCACCATCAGCCAGGTGCACAGAAGGCTCCAAGCCAGCCGTGGGCTCAGTCTGCTTTGCCGGCCTGGACCTGGTGTCCAGGTGGGCGAAGCACTAGCCTCTCTGGGCCTCAGTCCTCCCCTGAAGCTTCTGCCTAAAGCCACAAAGTCCAGAAAGAGGTGGAGTCTGGGATTCTAAGCCACTCAAAGAAAAGGCCTGGCCCCATAAGAAGGGGCCATGGGGACTTCAAGTGGCCGCCTCGTTGGCAAAGGGCATGTCTGCCCCCCCGCGCAGCGGAGCAGCGGGCCAGCACTCCAGGGACAAGTGGTGCGCTCTGCGGCTATTTTTTATCCAGGGCTCTCGGGGCTGCTTGTTTGTTTGCTTCCCCTCGGAAGTGCATTTTGTGAATCACTTTTGAAACCCACTCAGAACATTCCTTTCCTTTTGTCTCCTACCCCAACACCCTCCCCGACTGCCCTAGCTGAGCGCCACCTTCGGGAAGATCGGTGTGAAGGTCTTCTTGGTGAACATTCACGGTAAGAGGACAAGCTGAGGGGACTGGAGGGCTGGGGAGGAGATGGGGTGAGCACAGGTTGGTGGGACGCCGGACAGGGAGGGGGCTGGAAATAAGAGCATCCAAGTGCTCCCCCAAACTACTGCCTGCTCATGAGAGCTTCAGACACAAGTCAGGGGAGACTGCGGCCAGGTTACATAGACATCCTAGGGGTCTCAACAACAGCGTTGGAGATCGTGGAGTTAAGAATGGACAACTAGGGTGTGTGTCTCTGTGTGTGTGTGTGTCTGTGTGTGTGTGTCTGTGTGTCTGTGTGGCGAGGGAGAGGAAATTAAGCTTATTTATTTATTTTTAATGGAGGCTCTGGGGGATTGAACCCAGGACCTCATCCATGCTAAGCATGTGCTCTACCACTGAGCTATACCCTGCCCCCACAATTAGGATTTTCACTTGCCCCATCACTAATTTGCCATGTATCCTTGGTCAAGTCACTTTATCTGTCCAGGGATCAATTGCCACCTATGTAAAATGAGGTTGAATTTGGGAATCTTCGAATCCAAAAGTCCAAGAATAAGCGTAAAGCACACACATACTATAACTATCACAGGAAGAGGCAGATAGACATTTTTATACGCACACCATCTCCAAGAGGCACCCATACACAGCCCCAAGGAGGTGTCCGCATCGCAGCGGACTGTCACCTCGTTAGCGTGCGTGTGGAGTGCAGGGACATGGACACACAAACACACAAGGGAGTGGGAAGGCGCAAGCACACACACACCCGCTGCCCGCAGAGGGCCAGCCCCTTCCTGCAGGCCCACCTACCCAGCTTCAGCACTGACTGAGCACGGCCCGGGCTCCATGCGGGCTGCCCTCAGGGAGAGTCTGTGCTGGCGGTGACCTGTTCTGCGTGTGCTCCGGAGTTAGAGTCAGAAGATGCTGCCCACCCTCACTGAACCCTCCTCAGGAAATCATCTCCAGGATTTGGTGGGAGTAAAGGCTCTGTGCCACACATTGGACACTGCGGGACAGTTCTGGGTAAACAAGAGGAAAGACGGCCTCTCAAGGGGCAGAATTGGCTGTCGTTTTAGCCTTTCCCTCTGCAATCACCACAAAGTTCGGACTCCCTGAGTCAAACTGCTTCCTTCTTGCCCTGGGTTGAAGGTTCAGCATCCTCAAGCTCACATTGCCCTCTGCTGTCCAGAACTGATACTGCAAAGCCAATGCCAAGGCCCTAGGACGTAGCAAGAGCACAACCGTCAGGGCTCTTATCTCCTTCCCTCTCACCATCTCCCCCACGCCCAACTCCAGTCCACCGTGGTGTGACCTTTGAAGGTGATATTTCCTCCTTCCAGCCCAGGTGTACAATGACATTAGCCACGGAGGTGTCTTTGAAGATGGGTGTCTAGAGCGCAACCACGTCTTTCCCAGCATACACGACGCGGTCCTCTTTGCCCAGGCAAAGACCAGCAAAGTGGCCCCAGGACATGACTTCCAAGGGGTAAGATGCCTGAACCTGGGGAACCCTAGGCCCCAGGGCACTGAAATAGCAGGACGGGGTGTAGGGGGAACAATTAGACAGAACATAGGAAACAGTTTGGGTTCCAAAACCAATTCTGTCATTTAACTTCCCTGAATCTCAGTTTTTTTTATCTGTGGAATGGGTACCCAAAAGTAACACAGCTACCTCACGGAAGTGTTCTTTTGTTTTTGTTTTAGGATTAACTGATAATTATATCTTTTATGTCACTTGAAAGAGCTTTGTCTATTGTAAAATCCCTGATTATGGAATCTATTGTAAAATCCTTCATTATGAGATAATTTCCAGATCACACAAATACCCAGAGCATAGTAGGTTATGCCTGGTGTCCTGGCATTTCTCCCCCTCCTGCTCCTTCACTCTTTCTCGAAGAGGTTTTGGGGAAGGGAGGGGAGTAAGCCTGCCCATTTTAATTTAGCAGAGCTTGGAGATTTCAGGCTAGTGATGGATGAAGAGTATGGATCAGAGTTTTGTGTCAGCTCCTTGACATTTTATTTACTATCTCAGTAAGTGGTATGCAAATGAGCTACAAATCACAATGTCTACAAATAACACTCCAGAAGGCTGGGGAGGCAGAGAAAGCCCATCCCACTGGGGTCCCTGCCCAGGGCTCCCCAGCCAATCCCACCACCCAGGCTCCCCTCCCAGATCATGCTGCCCTTGGCCTCCCAAGACTCTGTGCCGCAGCTCATGATAAAAAGCCTCTCCTGCCCTCTGTGGGTCGTAAGAAAGGCTTTTCTGGCCCTAGAGCAACCATTTGCTCTTTGCTTTAAAAGACCGAGCAAGGTGAAGCCATCTGTTCTAAGCACTGAATGCCTGCCCAGGGAGACACGGGGCCTGGCGCCCGCCCACAGCACACAGAGGGAAACGGGGAGCCACCGCCTTTCTGGCCTCATGCACCCTGTCACCAGAGCAAAGGGAGGATCTGGAAGAATCTTCATCATCGGGCATTGCATAAATAATGTCCAGTTAATACTGTCTATATATTCTTTAAACTGTATATTGTATGTATTATATATTTACATATTACAGAATATTTTCACATATATATATGAATTATATACACACAGTTTTCAACAGCATGATGAGGTAAAAAGCCAGCAAAGTGAGTTTGATGATCCTACTTTTACAGATGAGGAAAGAAATTCCCAGAGAAGGGAAATGGAGCCCCCAGGTCAGGCAGCTAGCCAATCGCCCTTGTAAGCTCGGTAAACCTTCCCTGCCTCTGAAATGCCCACGGAGGAGGCAGACCCTGATGCACCCCTGTCTGGTGTGAGGACAAAAACCACAGCTGTGCTGAATTTTGTGAGGCAAATGAGGGAGGCGAGGGAGGGAAGGGGCAGGAGGGCGAGTTATGAGTCAGAACACACAGTGCCCCCTCTCCGCCCCCAGCCTGCCCTTGATGCCAATCTGTCATTCCGTTACTGGAGCTCATTCTGCACTGGTTTCCCCCTTCCAGCCTCCAGTGGACCCTGAGCTGTCATTGTATGATTCAAAGGATGACGTCCCCAGCTACTGGGACTTAGAGCAGGTAAGCTAGCGGGGTGGGGGGTCAGGATGGGAAGGAAGGAGACCCTCTCAAACCCAAAGTGTTGGCTGGGCTCTCTCACCTCCAAGCCAGAGCAGTCACCTTGAAGGCAACAACGTTTCTTATCGTTCTTTTAATAGCAGATCTTAATTCTTCTCACTCCCTGCAAGGCATCGTGGGGGAAGGGAGAGTCACTGGACCAAGTCCTAGAGAGCTAATACCTATTCTTAACTTTCCAACGCAGCAGCCACGTGACCTTGAGCAAGTCACGTAAATCACAGCCCAGTTTTCATCTTTGTCAAATAAGGGAAATATGGGTAGTACCTGTCCTGTCTACCTAACAAGATTAGTGGGGGATTCTTTTGTTCTTTCATTAATTCAACTGGTATTTACAGAGTGCCCACTACTTGCCTGACACTTCCAGGGTGGGCACACAGCAGTAAACAAAACAAAGCTTCCTGCCCGTAGCAAACTTAAATTCCGGTAGGGTCAGATGAATTCTAGGGGTGCAAGTTCAAGGGATACAAATATTACTGCAAGTGGACAGGCCTTAAGAACTAAGAACAGAGCCACGGAGGGTATAGCTCAGTGGTAGAGCACGTGATAAGCATGCACGATGTCCTGGGTTCAATCCCCAGTCCCTCCATTAAGAAAACATAAACCTAATTACCTCTCCCCACCAAAAAGAAAATAACCAAAAAAAAAAAAAAGAAAGAAAGAAAAGAAAAGATAAAGCTTAAAAAAAAAAAGAACTGATAGCTATGCAGATGTGAAGTGTTAACTTCACATAGAATCCTGTGATCTTGACATGAAAAGTAGCCTCACTCGATGTCCTGAATTCAGAGAAATCGGATGACCAGGTTTAGAGAGAGCTGGCTTTGAGTCTATTAGAAATAACACCCCACTTTGTGCCTCTTGCCATTCTTTTTGAGCATGAATTCCAGGGTCCTCTGAACATGTCTCTGCAAGTACGGGTGGCATGCGAGAGGCATTAGAAAGTAGAGCCAGGACCACAAACACTCAGCACTGATTTCTGTCCCCCCGTGGAATCTCCAGCACCTTCCAAAAAACCTGGATAGGACCGAAATAGCTTATCAGAGCAAGAGAGGACTTCAGAGCTTGTCTGATCTCAACCCTCATTTTACCTAATGAAGTGAAGCTTAAAAGGAGGGAGCGACCTGTGCAGGTCACACAGCACTCCTAGGGTGATTCAGAATTAGATATGAAGCATCTTCTCTTGTTCCCTCTGTACCAGTTCATCTCTTGGGCTGACCTTGCTTCTCCCCGGTTCGTATACACACACACACACACACACACACACACACTCATACACATTTCCCCATGGTGCCTCTTTCTGGCCCAGGACTCAGCCACCTGGTGATCGCAACCACTCTGAACACACTGGGTCTAATGCTCTCTCCCCCTCCCCTTTCCTCCCTGTGGCCCTGCAGGAGATGTTCGGGAGCATGTTTCACGCAGAGACTCTGACCGCCCTGTGAGGGCACAGCCGGTTCCGTGCTGCCTCCAGAGCGCCTGGCACCTGGGGCCCCTATGAAGGATGAGCCTGGGATCACAGGGAGTGGCGGGTAGAGGAAAACGCCTCCACCAGGACTCCAGTACCTCTCCATCCTCCTCCTCATCCTCTCCCATCCCCCCACCTCCCTCCTGACATCTCTAGAGCAAGCCTATCTCTGCAGCAGGGAGAGCCACCTCTTCACCCTTCTGCTGATCCTCAGGGCCCCAGCCAGCAACGAGCAAGCCTCCTGCTCACTCCCCCACACCCACCCGCACCCTGTCCGTGGCAGCTGATGGGACTCCTGACTGTCGGCCTTTGAGAGTGAGCCAGGAACAGACGGGAAACCATGTGCGGACACAGGGTGCAAGCTTCAAAAGTATCGTGGGGCCAGCGTGGCTTGGTGTCAGATGATGTCAAGCTGTCACAGGACACAGGGATGAACTAGCTTAGGACTCTGTGACTTGCCCCCTCCAGCTGCCCCAAGTCTGTCCTTGGTGGCTCTGCACCCCTAGGACCATGTTCTCCCACAAAGCAGGGATCTCTGTCTTGGTGACTATGTCCCCTTCCTCTTCATCTCAAGGCTGTAAGAACCTCCACTGCTATTTAGCACATCAGACTCTGGCCTGGGGAGTGGCCACCAGAGCTACCTTCCCAGGGGCAGCCCACCAAGTAGCTGCCCCAGCCTCCTGAAGCATGACCATGCCCCCTGCCCTCAGGGGCTGTTCCCTTCCACTTGAGACTGGGTGGGGACCCAAAAGGGACAGCGGGGTAGCTGGCAGAATCCTCTGGCAACCTAGCAACAGATACCAGTTCTTCGGCACAAAAGCTTTCGGGAATCCCTCTTTGTACTGGAGACACAGAGAGGGAAGGGGTGCTAGTGTCAACCCAGGGCAAACTGGTGGGACCTGGGCCCTGACAGTCCCCCTCACCTCAGAAATGCCTCCCCGACTTGGGAAATCTGCCTTGTTCTCTTCGTTTGGCAAAGAGCCAACGATTTTAACTCTCCCTTATCAGCTTGGGGCCTGAATCGTTCAGCCAGGTGAGGGAGGCTGCCCCTCCCCACCCCAAGGTCACACCCCAGCGGAGAACAGGACATGGAGCAGGGCTGATTCAAACTGAGTCTTCCTCCACAGGCCGCCCTTCACAAACTTGAGAACTGAGGTCATCTCCTCCTAGGGAAGATGAGAAGAGGGATTACGTTCTCCATATATATAAGAAGGTAGAGGCACCCCACTGTTGACTTGAAAATAAACAGGTCCTACGTGCGAGTGTTTGGGAAATTTTCCATGGACATGCACAGAAAACCTTTTGGCCTCTCCCCGCCGCTTCTCCCAAGCTCTTTCAGTGTAATGACCCCTGCCCCACAGGCTGGGCTGGCCCAGCCTGGAAAAACGTCCGAATTCCCAACTTCAGCCTGACCTGCATTGTGTGGTCTGCGTATGTTGAGTGAAGCGGTCAGCAAGCAAGTCTTCTTAGAGTTAAAGGAGGGGGTGCTGTCGAAAAGCCAACAGATTCTTGGCTTACAAGCATTGCTTCTCTGAGAATTCATTATGCCATCTGGCTGCCAATTGAACTCAAAACTTGGAAGGCCGAAGACAATGTTATCTGGGGTTCACTGTGCCCAGCACCCGAAGTGCCAAATTTCAAGAGGACAAGAACCTTAGCCAATGAAAATTCACCGTCCCCTGCTCCACCTCCTGCAAAGTCCAGCTCAGGCCCAAGAGATGGGGGAAGATCACAGAGCCTTGGGACATCCCAAGTCAGAGGTGCCCTTTGAACCAAATGTCCAGAACCCCTGAGGACTTGAGGAAGTGACCGTTAACACCCAGGCCAGCTCCAGACCTAAAAGGGATTTCTGACTCCTGGTGGCCTGGAAATGGGGCTCAAGGAGAGATCCTGCAGTAAGTTCAAGGGTGTAAGTATTCACAGAGCCCACAGTGTAGGTAAGCTTAGAAACACTGGGGTGGATGAAGACCGTGAAGAAAACGTCACTGTTGGAATACTTTGGAAAGAACACAGATTCACACAGACCACTCACTGGACCTGACCAAGGCAGGAAAGGAAGGCAAGGCAGTGAAACAATCCAGAATTTCAATACTTTTAAATGTTCTTAGTGATACTGACCTGTGATGATGTGGTTCCGGGGGAGACCGGGACTCTTGAGATGTTTGTGTAATTTATTTAATTTAAACGTCATTCTCCTTTTGTTCATTTTGCTAATAAAGTGGTTTTGAAATGTGAACAAATGCATGTGTTTGGGTGGTTTTATAGAGAGGCAAATCCAGTCACGTCCAGGAAAACACGGCCTTGCTTTGCCCTGTCCATGGGGCAGCAACTTCTCCATGAGTCTCCCAGCTCCTCTCCAGGTTCTGGTTTTCCATTCCTGGGAATGAATAACCCTTCACGATCCAGCCGAAGAGCAGAGATTGGATCCAGAAGACTGGACTAAAGCATCCTCATACTCAGGACCAATTCCCAGAGCCAGCTCTGTGATGTCTGTGGCCATCAGGGAAGCTGAATTTCCACCATCTCTTGTGTATACATTTCTCATGCTAATCCTTCAACATTCATGGGATGTCTGTCAAGGGCCATTCCCACCCATACTCAGCAAAGCTTTCAGCACCCTTGGTTTGGGGGAGCACACAATCTAATCCCCCATTTCCCTCCTCTGTTTATGAGACCATGCAAGGAGCGTAAAGCCAAAGGACTCAGGTGTCCGACGAGCTAGGTAGATTCTCAATTTTGTTTGCCGACTATATGAAACGGGAGGAAATAAGAGGAATCACAGAAAAAGAACAAAGGCATGAAGGAGACAAATAGGATGAAGTGGAATGAGATGGAGGACTAGAGATAAGACAAAGCAGAGACGGAAGGAAGATCAGAGGGATAGATGCGTGGAGACAAAGAGGTCAGGAAAGCTAGGAAAGACAGAAACAGGTGGAGCAGGAGGAGGATACACTGCAGAGAACTGAGAAAAGTCAGTTCCAAAATGACATCTATGAAAATAAACTAATCTTGCTTTAGCCTGCTCTTTGACTATCCTGTAAGATCTGAGTAAATTAGCAATTAACATCCCTCCGTTTTGAATTTTATATATGTGTGTATATATATGTGTGTGTATATATATACATACATATATAAAATTGATGCTATCTTAGCTTGAACCCCTTCTCCCCAGGAAACAGAACATGAGACATGAGCTTGCCTATGGGTATTTGGGAGGTAACCCCAGGGAGCAGGAGTGAAAGGCAGAAAGAATGAAACAGGCAGGGAGGGAAAACCAACCAAAACATGAGTTACTGAGGTTGCCACTGCGGAGGGCAGCTGGGGCTCCACCCTCCTGGGCCTTCCCAGGAGCCCGGTGAAGTGCATCTCCAAACTGTCCTAGAGAAATATTTACCCATCATTTCCATCTTCTATTGGTCAAGGGTGATCCCTTGGGTATTAACGCTCCAACAATTATAGGTTGCACCGATGTGAGCACAGAGCAGTCCCCAAGGGGCATCAAGGAGGTCTCTTGGGGCAGGAAGGAAGAGGTATGCTTGTCTCCAGGGAGGAGCCAGCTGGTAAGACTGCCCAAACTGTCACCCCAAAAGAGGCTTCACAGGAGAGTTTGGCATGGCACATGGCGGCATCTAAATCAGATGCATTTCCTTAACTTCTCATCTTTAAATCCCATTTTTACCTTTAATTGTAAGACTACAAGATGGCTGTGGCTGTTTTAAGTCTTTAGGGGAGTAATGTCAAAACAGCTATAAAATGTTAACTGCACGTATTGTGGTGATCATTTTTACAATATATACAAATATCAAACCATTGTGTTGTACACTGCAAACTAACATAATGTTGTATGTCAATTATTGATCAATTTTTTTAATTCTATAAGATGATTGATCATCCCCCATTCTACAGTGGAATGGGGTAATTTAAGACTGTGTATTCCTAAACATGGTGTCTAATGCAATTCCTTACTAAGCGGAACCAAGGCCCCTCTGAGAAATGGCTGGTTCCAGGGCCAGGGTAGAACAGGCACAAAATGAGTCAGAAACAACTTTTTATGCCAGAAAACAAGGAATTTTTTTTTAAATTATGGAGGCATATCACAAGGACACAGGAATCAGATTCAAGCAAATTCTACTAGCCAAATATAGGATAATTTGGGCACCAACATAAATACAATGATGCATTTTAAACCACTGAAGATAAGAACTGAGTCTATACCATATACCAGTGATGTAGCCATAGATAGACAGGTAGATAGATAGATAGATAGATAGATAGATAGATAGATAGATAGATAGATAGATAGATTATAGATAATTATGGAGGATTTGTAGTATTTTTAAATATCTGATAGGGTTAGTCCCCACCTATAACATTTTTATGATACAGTTTTCTTATTCAAAGATACGGTATCCCTTTCCATTTAAATCTCCTTTTAATAATCTAAAAAGTATTTTCTCAGATAGATCTTACACATTTCTCATGTCTATTCCTAGTTATTTTTTTCTTCTTTATCATCTTTCCCGTTATAAATGGAATTTTTTCCTGTATCTTCTAACTGGTTGTTTTTTGCATAGATTAAGGTTATTGCTTTCTGTATATTAATTTTATACCCAGATTACCTGCTGAATTCTTTTACAGCACTAATAGTTTTGTAGTAGTTTGGCAGTTTATTATTTCAGGTTTGCCGGATACACATCCTATGTCTGCACATAAATATAATTGTACTTCCTTTCCAATTTTGTGTACCTTAATCTCATTCTCTTGTTTACTTGTCTTGACAAATACCTGCAAAATAATATTAAGCAATAGTGATAGTAGGCATTCTTTTCTTGTCCCTGATTTTAACGCTAATATTTCTACTTTTTTCTCATTAAACATGATTCTGGAGGGGAAGATATAGCTCAGTGGTAGAGTCTGTGCTTAGCATTCACAGAGTCCTGGGTTCAATCCCCAGTTCCTCCATCATAAACAAACAAACAAACAAACAAACAAACCTAATTACCTCCCTCCTCAAAAAAGTAGGGAAAAATCATAATTCTTGCTTTAGCATTGGAATGTATATTTTATCATTTTAAGACTTTTATCACATATGGATGTAGGGCATTCAATGTCTGGTATGACATTATGAGGTGTTACACTGGCCAGCTCTCCAGTGAAACTGTCGACTATTTTCTTAAAAATGTAAGCCTCTAGAAATGATCCTAAGGGCAAACAGCAAACGAAGAAATATTTGTTCAAGAAATAGCTATTTGAAGAATATAGATAAAATATATTAGAAGAAAACATAGAATAAATTTTCATGACCTTGGATTTGGCAAAACATTCTTAGATATGACACCAATGCCTGCACAAGAGAAGAAAAAATAGGTAAATTGAACTCATCACAGTTAAAAACTTTTGTGCTTCAAAGGGGACCATAAGAAAGTAAAAAGTCAACCCACAGAATGGGATAAAATATTTGCAAATCATACGTCTGGTAATAGGAACTTGTACCTAGACTATATAAAGAACACTTATAACTCACTAATAAAAAGACAAATAACCCAATTTAAAAATGGACAAAACATCCAACTAGACAAGAAAGGTACACAAATGGCCAAGAAGCACGTGTAAAGATCCTCAGCATCTTTTGTCACATGGGAAATGCAAATCAAAACCACAATGAGATACCATTTCACACCTGCCAGAATTGTTAGAATCAAAGTCAGGTAAGTATTGACAAGGATGTGGCAAATTCAGAATCCTCAGACATTGCTGCTGGGAATGCAAAATGGTGCAGCCACTTTGGAGAACAGTACAGAATTATATCAAATGACTGAACATAGAGTTACCATATGACCCAACAATTCCATTCCTAGGTACATACCTCAGAGAAATTAAAATATAGGTCCACACAAAATCTTGCACATGATGGTTTATACCAGCATTATTCATAACAGCCAAAAGATGAAAATCCAAATGTCCACCAATGTATGAAAGGATGAACAAATGAAATGCAGTATATCCACACAATGGAATATTATTCAGGCATAAAAAGTAATGAAGTACTGATACATACTATAACGTAGATGAACCTTGGAAATTATAAGTGAAAGAAGGCAGTCACAAAAGACCAGAAATTATATGGTTTTACTTTTATAAAATGTCTAGGACTGGCAAATATATAGAGACAGAAAGTAGATTAGTGGTTGCTTAGGTCTAAGTGGAGGAAGATGGAAAGAATTAGGGGATGATGGCTGAAGGGTACAGGATTTCTTTTTGATGAAAATGTTCTAAAATTGACTGTGGTAATGGTTACACAGCTCTGTGAACATTCTAAAACCACTGAAATGTAAACTTAAAAAAAAAAAGAAATTTGGCTCCGTTGTGCAATGGATAGCGCATTGGACTTCTTAAAAAAAAAAATTTGACATCTAGACACCTTGTAGTGAAACTGAAGAATACTAAAAACAAAGAGAAGTCCTTAAAAAGAGCCAGAAGGAAGACAGTTCACTACATTCAATAAAGTAGCTTCAAAAAGATGAACACTGGGAACAAGAAAAATTATTCCAGAAGAAAGGCCTGAGATTCAAGAAGAAAGATGTATATATAACCAGAGAATCTCTTCCATGGGTGGCCCAGGAGACATGTGCAATAAATGCTTATATATGATCACAGAATGCAATATCAATCACAGTGAATGTGACTAGACTACAGTTAGATATAACAGGATGAACAAATCCCACAGACACAGTGTGGAGTGAAAACCACAAATTGCACAAGACTATGTACAGCATGCTGCCATTTTGATAAAAGCAAGCGAAACCAAACTCAGCTCTCATATAGATACACATTTAGCATCATATATATGTGGTAGAACTATTTAAAGCACACACATAGACTCACATAGCTTCAGATAGTAGTTACTTGGGCAAGGAACCGAGGCGCGGGGGCACTAGGACACATAACACTTCACTGTTATTGATCATTTGTCGGGGGTGGGGAGGGGGTGGTCACAGTTGTTCACGTTATTATTTTCTTCACATACTCATTGCATATGTATTCACTAAGTATCAAATATTACACAATAAGAGAATTTAAAGAATAAGAACAGAGAAATATGATAATGCTCAAAGAAAGAAACAGAATATGGGACTTTGTATATAGTATGCATCTGTTTCATTTTCAAACTGATACTTCATATGTGAGTATTTGTATGCGCAGAAAAAAGATTAGATACAAAATATTATGAGTGAATATCTCTGGATATTGGGATGGCACATGATTTTTTTCTTTATACTTTCCTGTGTTTTCCAAATAATTCACATGGGTATAAATAGTCTATTAATTTTACAATTTAAAAAATTTGTTTAAGTTTGGTAGGAATTAAACTACTTTGTATTAAAAATCTTATCCGCATCCACTTTTAAAAATCATTTCAACTATTTTTAATGTTCTAGGTGTTAAACTGGGTAGTGAATACAGAAATGTTTATTATGTTATTCTTTACATCTTTCTAAGTGTGTGAAGTGTTTTGTAATATTGTTTTTAAACTGCTATTGAAAAATAACTACATGATTGCAGGGGAAGGGCTTGCTTATTTATTTTTTTAAGTAGGAGAAATGAAAAAGTCGGAGCAAACCACTCCTTCTCTGAGCTGTGGCAAACACCAGAAGTGTGAATTTGCAGCTTTGGTCATGACTAGTACACGGCCCTACTGGCTGTATAGCAATTATGAATTTCTCTAGAGAATTCTAAAATGTTAATGTGGTACTATATTAAATTGCATCAAGGGATCTGGAAGGATAGGTTTCTTCTGGCTCCAAGAAATCCAATTTTAAATTTCTATCCTAAGAGATTTTTTTTAAGTGATCCTCTACTCTGGATAGTTGTCAAATTTCCATTTGTTGGATAAACTGAAATTACAAATACATAATCTTTCTAAAAACATTTTCAGTCTTAATTTATTTGTCTAGAGTTGCAAAAATGTAGTGTTAACACTGATATAAAAAACACTGTCAGGTGTGAGGGTACAGCTCAGGGGTAGAGTGCTTATCCAGCATGTAAAAGGTTGGATTCAATCTCTAATACCTCCATTAAAACAAATAAATAAAATTTATTTATGCCCCTAAAATAAAATTTTGAAAAGAGGGAAAAAAAAAAAAAACCACTTTCAGCGAATTCCCAAACAGAGGCAAACCCTCTGATCTAATTCTTCAAAACAATGTCTACAGATTGAGCAGTACTGTTTCAATTTCAAATGAAATCGAGCCAGGGGCCGGGAGAGCTTCCCCAGTGGAATCTGGGGAAATGGTAGGCAAGCCCTAAGCTTCAGAAGTGAGACGTTGATGAAGGTCTGATAAACTCTGTTCATTTATTTTGCCTTTCCCTCCCCGCCCCTAATTTGATCTGCTGACATACAGAAAGAGATTTATGGGTATCTCAAAGCAAAACACAAGTGCAGGCAAAACCTGCGAATTGCCCGGAGCCCAACCTCACCTTTGCTCGGTAGCGGCAAGACACCACAACCCACAAAAGGCCCTGCGGGCCTGGGGCGGGGCCTTCCCGTGGATTGGTTGCTCCGCATCCCCAGGCAGGCAATGACTGGCCAGCTCTGGGGATGGGGCGGGGCTAAGGAAGTCGAAAGAGTTCTATCTGTGACAGGGAGAGGAATGCGGGCTGGCTGGGCGGTTAGGTCCAAACTCCAGCCGCCGACTGGCAGCGGGGACTTGAGAGAAGCATGCCTCGGCCGTACGTTTGCCTGCTAGCGGCTGTGCTGCTGCTAGGTATCGCCGCCGTCTCCAGGTCGAAGGGCCTGCGGGGCAAGGAGCATGAGAGGACGCCGCGAATCACTTCTCATTTCAGCCAAAAGGAGCGTGTCACGATGAGGGAGGCGCTGAAAGGTGAACCTGGGTTCCCTTCGCCCACTTATTCTCAGATGTAGTTCCCTGTCTCCTCGAGCTAACCCGTGACTCCCATCTCCAGCCTCAGAGGTCCACTGTTCGACTTCCGTAACCCCCTGGAGGAGCCCTAGCCCCATTCCTGGCACCTCCTGCCTGCCTTGGGGACCTCACTCTTCTAAACCTGGCTTCCTACGACTCCGGTGTTCCCTGCCTAGCCTGGAAGCTTCAACTTCGCCCGTGTTGGTGTGACTATCACCCGTCCTACCCCACCCTACTTGCCTGGAGCATTACAACAGCTATTTAACCTTTGATAGTTTGCAGTTGTTAAATCTCTTAAGCCAATACTGAATAATCTTAATCTTTTCTACAAATGAGGGAAATGAAAGTTTAGGTCAGTTAAATGATCTTCCCCGTCAAGGGGTGTCCACGGGATGGGAACATCTAGTGCCTGTAGGATCCTCTGGGTTCTAGATGGCTCTGAAAAGAGGTGTGGGGGTGTTACAGGTGTGTGGGATGTCCCTAATTCCCTCTCCTAATTGAAGGACATCTCCTCCCCAGACCTAAAACCAAGGTTAAAAACTTATTTACCCTCTCAATCTGCATTTTCCAAGAGAAAAGGGAAAAGTTTTTGTTGAGTTCTAGATCCAGTAGTATAATGAGATCCTTATTCACCTTTGGTCTTAGCGCCAGTCTTTTCCCTTCCATTAAGTAATGGATAAAAAGAAACTGCCTATAGAAAAATGTTCAGGCAGATAGATTCAGGGACCAAAAGCTAACCCTTGTTGTTAAATATAAACTGGGCTTGTGCTGGAGTGATCAGCCTGGGAAGCAGAGCAGGGCTTTCCCAAAGCATCATAGTATAAATTGTTCTCTGAAAGGCATTGGGTAGCCACTCACCAGAGTCTCTTTGCAAGAGAGAAAGCAAAAGCTAGGTAAGAACTTAAAATAGGGGCCTTATAGCAACGTGGCTTAGAGGGGGCAAAACACCTGAGTTTAGATCTTGAGTCTGAACTCAGTCTCATATAGACAGCTGATTTTGTCTTTTTGAACCTCGGCTTCCCCCATCTGTGTGGTGAGCTATGATGTTGATCCTTAGCAAAACTGAGTACAGAAGTCAGAGGCCCTCCCCTGACGTCAAGCTCCCCCAGGAGCGTTTGTTCCCACTGTTTTTAGATAGCCATCTACTCAAATAATCAAGCCTTCACCAAGGGATGAGCTTGGTGGCAATCCAGGAACCAAGACATCTGTGTAGAGTGAATGAAATTATTTATGGCTGAGGAGCTTGTTTGGGAACTTTTAAATTCACACCTTCTCAGGCATCATGTGACCCCAAAGCTGGACTTGGCTGAGAGATCAGTGAGACACTGGATGAGCCAGGCCACGGGGAATAAGGCTGCTCTCTGTACAGAAAAGCACATGAAGCATCATTGGTGTAGGGACCAAGAACAGTGGGCTGCTTGGGTTCATCAAAGAAATGGTGGCTTCAGAGCAGAGGGAGGCCTTAGAAGTAATTCATAGAAGCTTCGGACTTTGGGTCAGGGTGCAAAATCTACTCCTGTCCAGTGCCCCCCCCCCCGACCCCATCTTGGGCTTTACCTTCCTTTAAGAACCATATTAGCCTAAATGAATCCGAAGGGTGTGGGTTTAAACCCTAGTTCTACTGCTTGTTTCCGGACAACCTTGAGCAGCTCACCTAACCTGTCTCAGCTTGTTTCCTCACCTCTGAATCAGGGAAAACGGCAGTGCCTACCTCAAAGAATTGTTTTTCCCTCTGCAATAAAATAATACATGCAACAGAACTTTTCATGTACAAAGGGCTGTGGAAAAACCAATGGTTGTTATCATCTGTTATCTTCCGTCTCTGACTCTGACAGGTGCCATCCAGATTCCAACAGTGTCCTTCAGCTCCAAGGAGCTCAACACGACAGCCCTGACTGAATTTGGAAGATACATTCGTAAAGGTCAGCCACAGACTGGGGAAAGGGGGTAGGAAAGGTAGCGTTGAAGACAGTTCTTTTACAAGATGATAAAAGGGCAACCTAATTTCCATGAGCCTCTCTTGACAAAAGTTTGTACATGGTGGGGAGGGATAAAGGGAAAGTCCAGGAGTGGGAGTAGACACAGAGTGGGGACTATAGATTTGCCCTTTGAAGAACACAGCTGCTGGGTTGTAGTTTGAACTCTCCCAATCTTTGCCCTCAATATGTGTCAGTGAGTAAATATGATATAATCAAAAGATTCAGACTAGGAATTCCTTCTTCCTTTGCAAGTTTCCAGAACTATGCCTCATGCTCCTCCCACTCCTACCTCCATGCACACCTACAACATATACACACACACTTACCCACCCAGACCCCACTCCAGATTCATTACTAGCACATTTCTGAGCTTCTAGGCATCAACAACTCTGAACTGTCACATCAGTCCTCTCCCATCACCCTACTGTCCATGAGCTAAAGAAGGATGGGTTGGGGTAAAAAGGAGACTTGGAGCTCCCCTTCCCCATATAAAAAGCTCTTGGAGAATAGTAAAGCCACCTTCCTAAATCAAATGAAAAATAGCCCCTCTAAAGTCAGCAGGGGTGAGAGGCTGGCGTAGACACAGCAAGTAGCCCCCTCGCTAACATTCTGGAGCAGGTGAGCCCAGGATCAATCCCCAGCAGCCAGGCTGGAAGTCTTCACTAAATAGGAGATAAAAATCAGGAAAGAAATGTACAGTAACGGTAAACTAGATAATCTGGCTGACAAGATAAAAGCATATTCTTCTTCTTTTTTTTTTATTTGTTTATTTCCAGGTATGCACAGAGGGAGGTCAAAGTTCTTTCTCCCATGTATTGAAGGCCACCTGTGCTAAGATCTGTCTGTAACCTGAACAGTTGACCCTGGGAACACCCACACCTGCAAACAAAAGTGTGGCCATGTGCTAGACAGAACAATCTTTTACCTACACAGAATGCAAACAGTAGGAGAACTGTTTTGTAAAAGAGAAAAAAATCCCTGATTTTTATATATATATATATATATATATATATGATATCTCTGAGATATTTATGTGTCATGTTTGGTTCCAAGTGATTTGGATACTGTGGCTACTATATTTAAAACTTAACAAAAAAACCAAAAACTCAAGGGGGAGGGTATAGCTCAAGTGGTAGAGTGTATGCTTAGCATGCACAAGGTCCTGGGTTCAAGTCCCATTACCTCCATTAAAAAACTAATGAAATAAATAAACTTAATTACCTCCCCAACCAAAAAACCTAACATAGTCCTAGTCTGCATAGCCTGTTCTGTTACAGACACGTATTTGTGACAACATTATAGGCCAGACCGAGCCAGATCTTGAGGTTTTAACTGTCATAATGGTGTGTCTTGATGGGCATAGTAATAGCACATCAAACTATGTGGAGGAGGTATTTTAGGGATGGTCTGGGCAAATCAGAAATCAGACTGGCTTTGTCCCAGAAGGCTTCCTAAAGGAGACTGCATGTTTTAAAGAAAAAAAAATAAGGACAGGGAGCACCAGATGGTAGGAAAACCAAAGGCAACTGTTGAATCTGGCTTTCTCTCATTTGCTTCTAGTCTTTCCTACTGTGTTCCAGACCAGCTTTATCCAGCACGAAGTTGTGGGAGAGTACAGCCACCTGTTCACAGTCCAAGGCTCGGACCCCAGCTTGCAGCCCTACATGCTCCTCGCTCACATTGACGTGGTGCCTGCCCCTGATGAAGGCTGGGACGTGCCCCCGTTCTCTGGGTTGGAGCGTGATGGCTTCATCTATGGTCGAGGCACACTGGACAACAAAAACTCTCTTATGGTCTGAAATGCTATGTTCCCTCTGCCGTGGGGCCCTGAAGATCAACTCAGGATGGGGGAGCTTGGCTGACCCCTGGGAGGCAGGAGGTTATGGGAGAAAGAGCCTTGGCTCTGGGAGACCTGGGTTCCAGCCATCAGTTTGTCACTTCCCTTTTCTGGGCCCTGAGTTCTCAGCTGTGAAATAGGGATTAGAAGAGATAACCCCCAGGCACCCTTTCTGCTCTGATGCTGATAAGTTTATGCTTTTCTCCAGGCACAAAAGGTTTTATGTGGAGCTCTGCTTCCCTACATCCCATTCCCGGGGACCATTTGAATTTGTTCTCTCTAAAGAGAGTCTATTACGTCCTGATCCCATCAGCCCTGTTACAGGCAGCTGAATGTCTCTGATGCCTCGGTGCTCCCACTTAGATAAAAAAAAAGCCTTTCTCCTCTTCTATTGTCCTGTCCGCCAGGCAATCATGCAGGCGTTGGAGCTTCTGCTGATCAGAAACTACATACCCCGAAGACCTTTCTTCATTGCTCTGGGCCATGATGAAGAGGTAGAGCCCCCTCACCCTGTACCTACCTCTTGGTCCCCTACTAGGGGAGGGAGCGCACTTCATCCTAGCCTGGTTAGTAGCTCCCCAGCGGCACAGTCTCCAGGATACGGCGTGGTGGTTTGCCAACTTCTCTGTGTATCTGTTGCCAGAAATATCTAAGGACTTTGACCAAAATGCAGATCCCTGGGCCCTGTGCCATAGATCTGAATTTGGTTTTTTTTTCTTTTACGACTATTCCTTTTAAGAGCAGTTTTAGGTTCATAGCAAAAATGAGACGGCATTTCCCTTATTCCTCCAACCCACACACATACATAGTCTCCCCTAATATCAACATCCCCCACCAGAGTGTACATTTGTTACAACAGGTGAATCTGCATTGCCACATCATAATCACCCAGAGCTATTGTACACATTAGGGTACGTTCTTGGTGTTGTATGTTCTTTGGGTTTGGACAGATGTCTAATGACGTATATGGTAGCATTATGGTATCAGAGTATTTTTACTGCCCTAAAAAGCCTCTATGTTCTGCCTATTCATCCCTCTCTTTCCCCCAGACCCTGGCAACCACTGATCTTTTTAATGACCCCATAGTTTCGTCTTTTTTTAAAATGCTATATAGTTGGAATCATATAGTATGTAGTCTTTTCAGACTGGCTTCTTTCACTTAGTGATAGTCACAGATCTGAATTTTTAACAAAGTCCAACTACACCTTGAGAAACATTGGTGTGATGGAAAAAGACCCAAAGAGAGATCAGTGAATGTGTTTTCTTTCCAGCGGTGCCACTTACTTTGACCCTGGGCCAATCACTTCACACTCAGGATCGCAGGTTCTTCATTTGTGAAGTGAGGGCGGTTGGGCCCTTCTGAACCTGACATTGCAGGATTGTGTGAGGCAGGATTATTGAGGGCCCTGCTCCCCAGGAAGGAGTCTGGGCGGGAGGTTCTGGAGCCCCTAGCTAAGCTAAATGAGTCATCTCTGGAGGGCTGGCTGAAAAGGACAGTGGCTCTGGGTTCAATGCCTGCAGGTGTCAGGGGTAAACGGGGCTCAGAAGATCTCAGCCCTGCTGCAGGCAAGGGGCGTCCAGCTGGCCTTCATCGTGGATGAGGGGAGCTTCATCTTGGATGGTTTCATTCCCAATCTCAAGAAGCCCTTTGCCATGTGAGTACAGTATCCCATCCCCGACCTTGGAAGGTGTTCTCACCCCACGAGAGGTGACCTCAGCCTGTTATCTGTAAGTCACGCTGAGACAGCTCTTTATTTTACTCCTCTTGGCTTTAGTCGCCCTGGGCCAGGTCTGGGCTCCCCTTTCCCTTCCTCCTCTAGTGTAAGTTTTTTAAGCAGCGTGAAGCTGAGATTCTGGCCCACCAGACCACTGCACAGATGGGCCTGTGGGCTGACGGGCTGGTTCAGGGTGGAGGTCAGGGGGGCCCTTTCTGGTCCTGTCCTACAGGATTTCCGTCTCTGAGAAGGGTGCGATGAACCTCCTGCTGCAAGTGAACATGACTCCAGGCCACTCTTCAGCTCCTCCCAAGGAGACAAGCATTGGCATCCTCTCCGCCGCTGTCAGCCGGTAGGCGACTCCGGGCCCTGCTCGCCTGTCAGACTCAGGCTGGAAGACCTGGCACTTGCCCACTTTGAGTTTGAGGAGGCTAAGCTTCCTGTCCCGAGGCTGAGAAACCGCCTTGGGGGCTGCCGGGAGGGCAGAGCTACCAGTATCCAGGCAAGGGCCAAAGGTCACAAGAAGATCTATGCATGTGACAAGCAAAAGCCAGCAGACGAAAGCTTGGTTAGATAGAAGCTGGAACAGGCCAAAGTCCAGGCCTGAAGTTAGAGCTCACAAGCTGGAAAAGGACCATCTAAATGCTCCCCTTGCCCTGGCAAGAGGACCAAGACCAGTAAAGGCTGCTGGCTGTGGGCGAGGACAGCAGGGTCTGTGACAACAGACCTCATCTCTGGCCAGTTTTCTTGCAGAGCGAGAGGAATCCTATTCATTCAGTTAAATATTTAAGTCTACCATGTTCAAGACTTTGTGCCCAGTGATGGGCATACAGTGGTGGAAAAACCAGACAGTCCCTTTCCTCCGGGAACTCAATAGTTAGCAAAAGAGACTGACAATTTTGCTACCGTGTGGTAGGTGCTCTGAGAGTGGGCGATGCCCTGTGGACTCGGTAGACAGGAACAGCCCCTGCTGGTGGGGTAGAGGTGGTCCTACTTATGCTTTGAGATCTTGGAATGGTTGGACTGGTGGAGGTGATGGGGCGGTGAATGGGAGACCTCCTGGCCAGGTCTGTTGAAATGTCCTGTCTCCCTCCTCCTCTTCAGGCCGATGGTCTCGACTGAGTTCGGTTAAGTCTTGAGAACTGCATTTCTCTTCCAGACTGGAGCAGACACCGATGCCCAACATGTTTGGAGACGGGCCGATGAAGATGGCTTTGCAGCAACTGGCAAATGAGGTGTGAGAAGGGGTCTCACACGTTCCTGCTTGGCTGTGGAAGAGGAAGGAAGAGTGGCAGAGAAGTTGCCTTTAGAGTAATGAAATGTCCCAACTGCTGACCAGTGCTCTGCCCTTTCTCATCTGTTCCCAGCCAGTGGCTGAGCCAAGATGCAAGCACCTGGCTTGTTCCTTGGGGCTGATGATGCTCAGGCCAAGAACCTGAAACCTAATACGCTGGGAGCCCTGGGGAGAGCTGGTTTTCCCAGTCATCCTTGAGGCCACTGCCAAGGGCCCTTAAGGCAGATCTAAAGTCAGGAGAGACCCGGGCCCAGGAAGAGTGACCCTGCTTTGCTGACCCCTCTGAAATTCTGCTGAAAACCTGCTTCTTTCCCTTTCAGTTTCCCTTCCCCGCCAATATAATTTTGAGCAACCTGTGGCTATTTCGGCCCCTTGTAAGCAGGTAAAGTTCTATTGTCCCATCCTTTACATCTCCCCCGCCAAATCTACGCACTTCCCGGTTCCCTTCCCTTGGCTTAGCTCCGCCTGACCAACCATCTCCTCAGCCACCAGACCCTACATCTAATTTGTATAGAGGACATGCCTCCTAGTCTTAAAGGTCTCTGAGGTTCAGGAAAGTGGGTAGACCTACAGTCCATTCTTTCTTTCCATTGGACAATGCCTGACTTAGTCCTTTCGCTTTAGGTGGATGGAGAGAAATTACATAACCAATGCGCTGGTTAGGACCACCACAGCACTCACCATGTTCAACGCGGGGGTCAAGGTAACACCACCTGGCTCCTCTTACACACCTTCCTCCCCACCCCCCACCACCCACACACCCCTCCTTCCCTTTATTTCCTGGCTCCTCCTTCTTCCTCTGGTTACAATTTGAATAATAATTGGAAGGCCCAGTGCTGAACTGTCCTGTGTCATCAGATGGATAAGTCTCCAGAGCAGGGTTCTAGCTAATGTCTACAAACTCTCTGAAATCCCTGACCCAGTTCCATGTGTTTCAGGGGCCCCCCTCAGGCTCTTTGCGCCTGCCCCCTTCAAAGACACAAACATCACACGGATGTGAAGAGGCGTTGTTTGAGAGTTAACTCTGGTGACCAGTACTCATTCAACAGTAACATATCTACCTAGCATTTCGATCATGTAAGCTAAAGATTCACAGCCTCTCCACTGCCTTTTTATTATTCTTCCTTGTATTTTGAAAGATTTATTCACCTAACAAATTTAAGGAATGGTTCATCTATTTTCCCCTGTTACCTTAAGTTGAATGAGAGAAACTTACCTGCCATTTTAAAAATCTATAACATTTGTGATACATACAACACTTAAAATATATACATTGTCTAAAAACAAAATGCTGAAAGGAAAAAAATATATGTATATATACACACACACACATATACATGTACACATTGTCTTTCCCCAAAATACACTAAATATTGTGGGGCCTTAGCAAACATAAATTCTATATGAGGTTTACTTTTATAGAAAGAAGTTCCAGGTGAACCAATACTTCGATACATTTTTTTCTAAGAATTACTTTTCAGCAGACTGGTGTACTTCGAGCTGGACTGGCCACTAAGGGGCTTCTCTCTTTAAAGGAACGTGCACAGCCACACTAGTTTGCCTGCACCGAGGCCCTTCAAAATCTTGAAAGGAGGTAGATCATTCCAAGCTCTTCCAGTACCACCAGCACGGCTTCAGGGAGCACCACTCACCTAGAATACAATGTGGCCTTGTGGCGCTCTGGTCATCTGGAGCCCAGGTTGAGTAGAAGTGAATGGTGCCTCAGAATTAATTGCTGGCATAACTGACTAGAGTGTCCAGTGTGTCAGGCAGACCCGAGCTGTCTTCACCAGCTGCCTTGAGTGTTCACCAAAACAGTAGTACTGTGTCCTTGCATTTGAATGGTGTTTCTATCTGTCCAGACTCCTTTTCACATTTGTGGCTCCATTTGATCCTCCTAACAGCTCTTAGAGGATTATTGCTCCAATTGCCAGTTGAGAGACAGAGGCACAAAGAGGTCATAATTATTTAAAATCACATGGCTAAATTTGTAACAGCCCAGTTCTCCCATCCCTAGCCAGGCATTTTTTTGCATCATGCCAGTTAAAAGAAAGACATGCGGTTGGGGAATCTGGTCTCTGAGGGAAAAGTCCCTCTGTAGCTTAACTCTCTTCTCCAGCTGGTCCCGGGGTCTTCCTGGCCAGATGGAGAACAGAGTCAAATTTTGCAGTTGGATGTGCGAGACCACAACCACCATCATCGTGATCACCCCCATCGGGGATCCCACACGCCATGGCGAGGCCTGGAGAGGCTCTGGGTGTGCTGTCCTGAGTGAGCACTAATGTGGACCGCTGCAGAAAGGTCCCGGGCGCCCCAAGAAAGAGCATGCACGGGAGACTGCCAGTGGCCAAAACAGAGATGTCTGGGCAGTCACAGAGGAAGCAGCCTTGCTCTGAGCAGCTCTCTGTGACCACTTCCAGGGCCAAGAAGGATGAAGCTCTGGCCTGGCACGAAGACATACCTCTAGCTTCGAACATAACCACATGTCAAGGGTGCAGAGAAGACAGGGGCTGACTGAGAAAATGAGGCCCTGGATTTTTAAGTCAAATCAGCTTCCTCTCCCCCCTGCTGGTGGTAGTTGGCATTTCCTGGGCAGGGATCAGGTGTGGGGTTCTTGAGGTCGGCTCAGGCCAGTTTGTGGTTCTCTCTCTAGGTGAATGTCATCCCCCCGGTGGCCCAGGCCATAGTCAACTTACGAATCGACCCCGCACAGACAGTCCAGGAGGTAAGTACCCCCTGTTCCCAACAACTGGGTCGGCGTCAGTGAGGCATGGCTCCCAGGACTGGGGTTTGGCTGCAGTCCCAGGGCTGGCCCAGTCTCTGATTTGTTCAGCCTTTTTCGAAGGCTTCCTATGCGCCAGGTGCTTGACTAGGATGGGCAATCTGTGGCTTGGGGGAACTTGGAGTCTAGGAGTGGGAGACGAAGGATAGCAACAGTAAATGACAAACAGCAAAGGAAAGAACTTGTAGCAAACACAGTGGGCTTGCTATGTGTCTGGCCCTGTTCTAACATGTTCACACACTCATTTCACCCCTACCCACGCTATGAGGTAGGAAATGTATTCTCCTCATTTAAGAGGGAAAACGGAGGCACCGATCCATAGAGCAGGGGAGTAACATGCCCAGGATTACACACCTAGCGCTGGCTCCAGCGTCTGTCTCTTAGCCCCCAAACTATACTGCACTTGTAACAATTAAGAACAAACAAATTCCCACAGGGCCAGTGCAGAGAAGGGGACGGATGCTGCCTCTGAGGATCTAGAAAGTCTTTTCTGATCACTAGAAATTTGAACTGGGGCTTAAAGGACAAGCAGGGCTGTGCTAGAAGTAAGACATTCAGAGAAAGGCTAAAATAAAGTCTAAAGAGTAAGTTAAATGGGGAGAAGTGATGGGAGATGAAGACGGAGCTGTAGTTTGGGGATCCAGGCTTTGTGCACCACACCGTGGAGTTTGGGCTCTCGTCTGTGGACAAAAGGGAACCATCAGGGGTCTTGTATATCACAGGACTGTGTTGAACTCAGATTCTCTTTTAGGGAGACAGTGCTAGTGGCAATGCTGAGAAAGCCCTGGAGTGAGAAGAGACAGCTAAGAAGCTGTTGCAAAGTCATGGGGTGAAGAGGACATGGGCCACGGGTGTGAGAGATGGGTTCAGTAGGATGTGGCGTGTAATGGATGTGGGGGAGTGAAAGGCAGGGCAGCTCCAAGATTTTAAACCTAGGTAGTTGGCCAAGTGCTGCTGCCTTTAACCAAGATTAGGAATTCGGGAACAAGAGCAAGTTCACCAAGAAATATCATGGTTTAGAAATTTGAGAAGCTGATAATATATTAATAAGCAATTATAAACACCTCATGTGTAGAGAGAGAATGAACTAGAAAGAGAGGCTGGAGTATTATTAATTGAAGCCTCTAGAGCCAATAAAATCCTATGGGAAGGATGTGTACATTTTGGAAAGAAAAGGGTTGCGGACAGAGCCTTGCGTTGGTCTGCTATAAACATCAATCTAAAAATTATAAAAATGAGTGTATAATTGCAAACCATGATGAGTGCTGTGATGAAAAGGAATGGGGGCTATAAACCGAACATAACAAGGAAACAGACTTTGTCTGGAGGTCAGGCAAGGCTTCCCTAAGGTTGTGACATTTGAGCTGAAAGATAAGGAATGACAGGAAATACACAGAATATATGACACTGGTAAGAAAGGCCAGGTCACTGAAACACCAGGTTGAGCTAAAAAGAATTCAAAAGGTAAACCTAGGGGGGCAGGGTATAGCTCGAGTGGTGGAGTGCATGCTCAGCATACATAAGGTATGCTCTAAAAATAAGTAAGCCAACCTAAGTACCTACACCCCCCAGAAAATTTTTTTTAAAAAATGATCCAAAAAAAAGGGAGGGTACAGCTCAGTAGTGGAGTGCATGCTTAGCATGCACGGGGTCCCAGGTTCAATCCCGAGTACCTCCATTAAAAAAAAAAAGTGATCAAAAGAAGCAACGTAACAACTGTCAGATAAGTAATATGTTCCAGAATTAAGCAGGGTGAGGGGCACGTGGTGTTT